GAAATACTAAGTAACTATTAGAAAAAACCCTAGCAATTTCATTTTCCTACAGAACTTGTATTGTAAATTACTGAACAATTTTCGCTTGACATAATTATAAAGTAACAAGTGAACTACATTTTTTTTCTTCTGATGTCAAAAAAAATAATGATTCAACTTTGTCTATTTACTGTATATCGATATGTATGTGCTTATATGTTATCTCCAAATCAGTGTTAGTTGTAATGAAGTTTCGTACAGTTATTTTCGATAACCTGCTTGTCATTTTTAGTGCTTTGGTAGAACTGTCGGGAGTTAAAATAACTAAAACTAATCTAAATGATATATTTATTTTGTTCAAAAAATTAAAACTTTAAATAAGAATATAGTTTTGGGTCTAAAACTAATGCCTGATTACTAGTATCGATAATCTGTCTTCTCTTCAAAAAGGTTGTATTCTATGATTTTTTGTCTACAGAGTTTTGTCTGGTATGTGAACTTAAGATATTACTTAAAAGTATGTGTTATAGGAGTTTAAAGTACAACTTGAATTTAATTATGAAAGGCTGAACTACTGAAAGATGGGGATTTTAAAAAAAAATGTTTCCCACGTAACGCGCTTAACCCATAAAACACACATGGGAGTTTTTAAACTAGAATTCGCTTTACATATTTAGACATCAACAACTTCTTCGAATATAAGTTTGTACATATGCATTATCGTTTTCAGGTTATAAAAACACTATAGTCATTCAATACTACGAAACATCATAATTAATTCCAGTAATTAAAGCATCCTGAATAATTGATCTATGCAATTTAGAAAATTAATATTTATTCATTTTTTTGTTGCTTTTATGCATGATGTTTTCCTATTGATCAATGATTTCATCATTCATTAATTCCATATGAAAAGTTCTAAGGAGTTATACATGTCCATATACCAACTTTGAGACATTTTATTAATCTGCTTTATTTCCTTATATTTTTAATCAAAAAACAACTTGGAGTAGTGTTGTATTTTCTGGTCTAGATCGACGATAGGAGTCATAAATATCCTACTTACTGCTCTTTTGACAATATAGATACTTACAGAAAATATCTCATATTTAATTGCTTCTAATCCATATTGAACTACCCTAAACATCTACTTTAGATGATTTTTCTATATTTCTGAAATTTTTTTTATAACCGTCTGTCAGTAACTATGCAGTTATCTATAGATAAGCCAACTTAAGTAAATAACTAAACTATCGGAGTTGACTAAATCAAAACATCACATATGTTTTTGTTCTTTTAAAATGAGTAGATATGATTTATTAAAGTGTTTAATGTCCACATTTACTTATTCATCACGTATATAATTAAAAATTAGCATACTTTGTTTGTCCGAATGCTTTTTGTAAATATTCCTCAATAACACACAACATATTTATTTAATGTGCTTAATTGATTTTCACCCATTAACATTGTTTTAGGACTGCGAAAACAGTTAAATAAAATATTTGGACATATAAAATATTAGATATTCAAAAATTTAGTTAATTTTTGTCTTCAGTAGTGATAAATGTTATAACTTATGGCCTGTGTGCCCTGTTAATGTATAACGTAATGATACAGCCAACTATAGAGCAGTGAATTATCGATCGGACCAATGATGCCTAGAACCCGTACGAGCAGTCTAGAGTACTTATCGGCCTTGCTTCCTGCCTAACCCAGACGGTTAAGTTCAGAACACCAATCTCAGCCTCTGCAATATGAACCATTTATTTCAAAATTGCGGGGTTTATATTACTAATCAGACAGATCACATCGTACCATAAAATACGAAACAACATTTGTACAAGATTTGGCCATATGTGGCTGTGAATGTGAGAGGTAGTGATTAATAGACAGGGCATAATTCAAGAATGGTAAATCGTATAATAATAGTTCATAGGTCAAAATCAAGCTCATGATAAGAGGGACATGAATATTAACAGTTTAGTTACTTAACAATTATATGATAAAAATATACGCATAGTACTGGTCCATAAATGGATCTCGAAAGTTACCATTCATTATGCTTATCAGGACATAACAATGAGTCCATACAACTTCATGAAGGGTAAATATGTAGTCTATCAATATTTCGTATTTAAAGAAGCTTTTATGTCATAACTGAAAGGTCTGATTAGAAAACATACTCACTTGTCAGCAAAAGGAATAGAAAGAAAAACTAATGAAAACAGCTAACACGGCCTTAAAGAATCAGTCAGTTAATCTGAATGAAACAGCTTTTTAGCCATGTAAATTTTTAATAATTTGATAGGTTAAAAGTAACGGGATGAGAAGTGCACATGTTATTTGAAAATCGTCAGCAACATAACCCGAAAATCGAGGACCACAACGTATCCTTGTTTAAAAAAGTTGATAAAATCATGTAAATTAAAGTTCTAACTTGATCACTTGATAAAGTAACACGTTTCAATTCTATATGATGCTGCACTAATAAAGTAGTTTCTTCCATAATTGTGGGTGAAACGAGAGAATTTATGAAATAGTTTACTGCTCGCATTCAAAATTTGTTTGCAATCTCAATTTACGTGATTCGTTTCCATCTGTTGATCCCTGGGCGGTAACAAATGTTGTTTTTATTTAGTCTTCATTTTCTAATTGAATGCTATCAACTAAATTAAATTATCCTCATGAGTTCAAGAAATGCATCAGTGTATACACTATGTTACTAGTAGGATACCACAGACATAGGTTTCGTATTAGTTTTCACTTGCCAGTAAGACGTTTTTCCAATCTGAAAAGAACTGATGTTCCTTGTAGCATTAAAGCTCGCTCATTGGTAATGTGGTAAACCCTTTGAGTAATCTGTCGGATAAGATATTTATATGTATATTCCTGTCGGAACAAAGCGTTGAAGGGAGAAGCTTCTTACGGAATGTAACTTTCTCTGGTTTCCTGATCACTGCACGTAAATAGTTCTGCAAGCGCTTTCCAGATAGCTTATTCGGATAGACAAAAATTACGTAAACTCTCATTTCCATTTATGACCCTTCTGCTCAGTAGCCTACAACTACTACTTACATTGCCACATAAATTTGTTGTTTTATGATTATTAAAAAAGATTAAGTTGAGTTTTTTGTGCAACACTATATCTTCTATTCTCTAAACTAATCCATTACTAAGACGACAGTTAAAGTTAAGCATATGTATATACATAACTAATATAACATAGGTCGGTTATGTTGTCACGAAGAATTACTTTTAAGCATTGTCAAATAGCATTTGTAAAGGTGTGTATTATTCTACTGTTGCTATTTTGAGTCAAAAGCCAACTATGTACGAAGTTGGAGTTGAACACCATAGAGACTGAGTACAAGCCTCGACGTGCTAATGAAAGAAATCTTCCAGGTACATCCAGATAATATGTATGGAGGCGGACGAAAATGTACGTCCTGTATTCTATTTCTTACCATAATCCAAACAAATTAGCTTTTATGGTGGAAGATAACAAAGCGAAATCATGTTACGTCTCACAATGTTACATCACTAAATTCTCTCATTCTACTAGTGATAATCCAAATAAATACTTAAATAATTCTAGACGTTCAGAATTCATTATTGACATTCAAAATATGATTAAAAATATAAATAGTACATATAATTGAGAATATTTCTCTGATTGTTATGAAATTAAAAGACTTAATTCAAATTTGTGCTAAATAAGATTCTATTCGTAGGAACCACGAAATCTAAATGCTTTTCCTAATTATAATTAACTTTAATTATGTTGATCTAAAGATAAGGCATTGTCGTATTGACTAAGCAAAAATATAATAATAATAGTAATAAATGGTTTATAAATTAATTGGACAGACAAAAAGTAATTTGTCGACCAAAAGCCGAAGCAGTAGACACTTTTATTTTCCGATAGGTAATAAATGAACAATGTTGTTTTTGATCTTTGTTAGGGAAAGACATTGGAGACTAGGAAAAATCGATTTTAATAAATTATTTATCATTTATACTCTGTATTAAATGGGTTTTCTAAAATATAGATTGAGTCAATATTATTTTAGTGATAAATTAAAAGTACAGTTGGCCAAAAATATTTTTTTTCTTAGAAATCGAACGTTGCACAAATCACTTTCTGGAAAACGAAATTGTTTATATTACTATACTAAACCTTCAATTGAATGAATTGCTGAAAAAGAAATATTTTTATTTGTAAAAATGTGAACAAAAATTAAGCCTCTTATTAAAAATATTGTAATATATTTCATCCACTATATTGCTGTTAAAGCATATCAATGAAACCCAACTGAGAATATATAATTAGTTGATTTCGTGATTGAAAAAATGGACTAGTATTTATCGAGTATAGTCAAAATTGACTTTAATTATAATGTAATTTACTAGGGATTCCGTCAATAAAACCATATTTTACACAGTTGAATTCGAGATGTATAGAGATGCTTATCGTTTTGCGTTAAAATAGTTGAATGACTAGTGGTGGTAGTTTAGAACCCTGCTCTAAAGACCTCAGAAACAGAACAGTGTGGATAAAGTCACTTAGATACACAGTCCTAGAGGAAGTTATTTTTTAAAATCAAATTAAGTGCTCATTGAGTATCCTCATTCGGTCATATTTTACTAGTGTAAAGAAATTTTTTTTCGAAAATTATTAAATACAGTACCAGTCTTTCATGAAGGTAAGTTTCTAGAGTAAACTCATATTTGTATGAGATTGGCTGATTCAATTTATTATTTATCAAATAACGTTGATTTTCAATTATCGTTTGTTCTTTTCCACTTAAACTTATCTTTCTCACGACTTGTTCTTTCAACAAATCCAACCATCATGATGTGGCGTGAAGGTTTAGAAATGATTCGAAAATGAATAAACATTTTTACTTCTGTTTCAATAACTTTTAAAATTACAGTCTACAATGTAATTTTTCAATTGATTGTTTCAGTAAAATATTGAAGAGCAACTTTTTCAAACATAATTTCTGTTTAATTTTTAGAGTTCACTCAAATCCTTACTATTCACACTAGATGAACACGAAGATACATTCAAAAGATGATTTATACCATAGAGATATTGTTAAATTTATTTTTATTAGTCATATTTACTGTAAATGGATTGCAGTGTACATTACCGTCCAACTTATCAACTCATCCATACAATACAATCTTAACAAGATATTCAAGAGAAGTTAAGTCTGTTATATATATCGGTAAGCTGAAAATCATCATTTCAGTAAATTTTATTTTTCATTTGGTCTTTAATAATAAAGTAATCAAAGTATGGAGAAATTTTTAACACATTTTTTTACCGAGATGTTTACGAAAGATGGATCAATATTTATACGTTGAACTGATTCAACGTGCAAATTTATACTTTTCTGAATGTACTTGTATTGATTTTTACATCACGTTACTGAATACTTGATAAAGTGTGGAAACTCCTGATAACAATGTCGTATTTATTGGAGCTTCTCTCTATTTATATTCACTCGTACATTTTTAAGCTCAAATAAATATATAAAAATGAGAATTCAAGCCACTGATCAAATATACTAAGAAACGATTAAAGATAAATGGATGAACGGTGTGTAGAAGACTTAAATTAGGAACTAAGGGATACGAATATCCTTGCTGACCAAAATAATATCACGTATACAATTTCTGTATTATTGCACAAATTAAGTATCAGTTTTTGAGAGAACCTCCCTACCAAAAGGACTTGAAATACCGCACTCAATTTCATACAGCTTTCCGATAGCTTTTTTTTACCATATTAGTTCGGTGGTCGATATTAGATCACTATGAAAACTATACTAAAACCATAATTATTTCACAAAAAAATAAATAATTAAATAGAAAAAGTTGAAGTTTATTGACAAAGCAAATAATTTATGAAAATGATACGTTATTGTACATTTACTATCACATGAAAATACAAGAGCGAATTGCTCTTAAATTTACTTAGAACATGACATTCTGCTGAGATAATAACTGTAAATAAGATGTCGTACTTGAAATACTGTATTGCAAAACACTGTTCGTTATCGATAGGTATAATGAAATCAGTTGCTCCTGAAGCTATTTAGAATAAAGCTGAGTGATTTATTCTATTAAATATATTTCTAATTGTTGAACTATATACAAATCATGGATTACACAGAAAGTTGTTTGAACTTGGTTTAATTGAAAATGTAGATATATCTTATGTTTAAATTATTAAGCATTATGCGTTTGTAATTGTGTTCGGACCTATATATATGACTGGCTATATTGTAGTGACTATGTTATGCGGCTTTACGTTCACATTCACTATGTTTATTTGTAGATGATTGAAGACAAACGGTAAGAAAATTTAGAGAATTGAGCAACCAGTGAAGATTAAGGTGTAACATTCTACCGTCTATGGTATTTCCATCCCAAAAAAACATTACAGAATAAATCTGGTAGAACTTTAAATTAACTTTCAGTAACCACGTATAACCCAATGAAAAACACAAACTCTTGTCTTTGTCCAACACCTGCAAAGTATCATTTAGTTTTATAGAAAAGAATGCAGTTTCTCCTTACAATTTGTGAAAAGTACACATACATACACTCGAAATTTTCTTTATGATGAACAGTATTAGATATAGTACAACTACATCTTTGTTGTTAATGTAGATACAGGATTTTCCATTTAATATTAGAAATAATCTAAAGGTCAAACAAATGAAGTGCATAGAATAAATGTATATCGAGATAAAATTCAATGTTAAAAACCATCCATATTGTATATGTACATAACTGTATACAATAATCTTAGAAGAATTTAGGCAGAATAATAAAAATGAAAGAAGGAAACAATAAGAAAAATTGATTCACTGACTTACTGAAAAACTTGACATTTAAGTGTTAAAACCTCATCAATATTTTGTTGTCAGTTTAAGATTATTTTATAAGGTTACTAGATTTTTGCTTCATGTTAAGACAGGCTTACAGTCAAACTACGTTGAGATTTTTGGAGTTTTTCGAAGTTTTACTTTTGTTCCATACCATTAATCAATCCATTCAGTGTCCTTATTTAATGATATAAAGACTCTGAAAAATCTTCATTTCATCACAATGAGGTACAATTTGAAGATAACTGTCAAATATATATAATATACCACTCCGTTGTTGTCAGTGTGATGTGTTTTCAATTGAAGTTCATCAAATAACGTTTGCAACATCCCCATCAAACTAAGCAACTCTCTATCTTGAAGCAGATTTTTGGCTTCATATTCTCAAAACTGATTGACATGAAGCCATTATCCTAAGTCTGTAGTGCTTAGCAGTTATCAGAGAGACTATGATTGGCCCCTTCCTGGTCTATATTACTGATTATCAATACTCTCAGATACTCGTCATTGGTGAGGTAAATCCATCAGGATTGACTTAAACATTTAACGATTAGACGTGAAATCAAGGTTAGATCCTACAGACTGGTAAACTTATTGAAACACTAATAAATTTTTATATTTAAAATCAGTAGTCTAATGGTGTTTAGATATAATACACAGAACTTTTCAACAAAATGAATACCTCGGCTTTCGAATAATAAGGAGCTTACACAAATAAAGCATCAACGAAAAGATCATTAGCACCTAATCTGTGATATCGCTTAATGGATAAAGCCACTGCATAATGACTAACATCAGGGTCATGAAAAACCTATGTCATCTATAGACAACAAGTAATCAGGTGGTAAGGATGAACATATACAGTGAATAAAACTGTAATTAAAATTTACAAAGATTTTACAAGCGAGTAATGTCATTGTCAGAGTAACACGGATAGGATAATTCATGAATGTTTCAAAATAATTTTTCTTTGTAAATTTTATACGCGTGGAGATATTCATTAAATGTAACTTCTTTAAATAACAGCTCTCTTACCCATAGATTTTGATGTTAAAAGTACCGCATCACTATAGGTTTACTTTCGTTGTTAAACGTACCCGGACTGATTACAGATGCTTCTACAACTCGGTACACGTCTTGTAGAACTGCTTGTTTTAGAACATCTAAGACGTCAGCTCTTACCGTCCATGTCCTTACCGCCTTTTGACATTTTTACTGTTCAAAAACTCATAAAATATATTTTGGACGCAACATTAAAATCTTATATGTATAAATTTTTGAAACTGACAAGGATTATGCAGAAAGCCATCATGTTTCATTGAATTATCTAGTCTGTCTATAAACCTGTTTAGTTCGTTCCCCTCAGTTTCACCTAGATCTTAGACATAACTTCAGTGTTTATTACGTTACTCACCAATATATTTGACTTTTTATCCTTACACAAATGTATTTGGTTCGAATGGGTCATTTACAGTTTCTAATGCACAGATTTTAAACGACTCACGAATTATAATAGCTTTATAAGTTAATCGTTTGTAAACTATTTGATAACCAGACATTTTTCTACTTTCAGGAGTTATCCTTACTGATGAAGACCGCGACACTGAGAAAGCGTTTGAAAATGGTGTTCAAGCAGCTAATGAAGTCCTAGGTCAAAGTGGAACTCTATCATCTTACCAGTTAGAACCTATTATCCAATTTGTACCTAAAGATAATGTTTTTGTAGCCACACAACAAGGTAAGTAACACTGCTTCCATAAAGAATTGTTTTTTAAAAGCCTTTTGGTTATTATTAGGCATAAGCTAAAATTTGAAAAAATTGATCTACAAAACAAGAATATATTTTTCCGTACAACGACAACGTGAGAGCTATTTTAATGTGCGCCTAAATATTCAAAAATCAATCTCAAAATGATCAGCTTTTAGTACAGTCTGTAAAAAAGAAAAGTAATAAAATTATAATGAAAGTGACATTGATTTGATAGTCCAAAGAATTTGCAACCATACTGAAAAAGTAATGAAGTCAAAAGATGAAACTTTTAAGGTCTAATGCTAAGGCTCAAAAATACATGAATAACCTTTCGCGGTTCGAGATTCTGTAAACAACAAATCTCACATTCTCTTCTATCACAACTAGGTTATAATGCTGCTACTTGTAATCGTAAATCTCACACATGTGGAAATTTCAATTTTAGAAAATTCTCAAGTGTCAACTTCATTTTAGACTTTGATAACTATAACTATGACTCGATGTAGTAACTGTTGCGCAAAATTATTATTGAAGTTCTGACGCAACTAAAAAATGTCGTTTTCCTGTGTTACGTCATTCCTTTGGCTGCATATTTTACATTTTACTGGGTAATCTTTAGATAAAGTCATACCGCCGCTTGGACCAATACAGAGCTCCCACTTTTCTAGGTGTCAAAACTTAAACAGAAAAAAATATGAAACAGAAAATTATAAAATGCTTTATTCTAGACCGATATTTTTTACTTCCGTTCACAAATAAGGGTTTAAAATGATTAAAACTTTCACAATGAATTATAAAAATGTTTTACGTACGTCCTTGACATTTTATTTATACATAGTTAGTTTCAAACAGATGGATTATTGTAAAATATCAAATGAGTCGACTAATGAACAGCTAAACCTCCAGTACCTGAAAGATGTTAATTTACGGATTATCCACTATATATATATATGAGACCTATAAAGATCTTGCTTAAACAACATTTTGAAACTGAGTTATAACTGAATAGTCACAGGTTTGCTGACGGTTTCACTAATTTCCTTAGACAATCAAATATATTATCACTCTTTCACACAATCGGTAATTGTAAAATTGTTAAGGATAATACATAGTAAACTACTGTAAATATTGCGTGTTTGCATTTATAACACTAAGAAATAACTCATCAGTAATATCTTTGTCAGTAATATCTATGTATCTTATTTCAAAATATGTTTATCTTATGAATACCATGTCACCAATTAAATGTATGCTCCGTCGATAAACGTCATGTTAAACTAGTAATTGATTAATTTCAATGAATGAAAAAGTCGTATGTGATTCGCATAAATATTTGTTCATGTTTTTAACAACTTTTTAGATGTTCACTTATTCAGTCAACTATAAATTAATTAATCATGATAACATAAAAACAATTCCCTTTATTTCAAAACGCTTTAAAAAAAATCGTCTATCGTTTATTTTCACAAATGTAAGATAAATTTATTCTGTATGCTTGCATCATCCCACTGTTTATACTAAGCACTAAAACGGATCAAACTTTTTGTATCACACATGCATTCTCTGCGGATTGTCTAGATAAAGCCATTTATTCACAAATTTAATTAAGGTTAAACAGCGATTAGCAATAGGATCTAAGACGCGTGTTTCATAATGCCTGGGACACACTACCTGGATTTATCTGCATTCCAGGGTTGATATTCCCATCAAGACATCCAAAATGAATTGTTCAAATGATTGTTATTAACTTGTTGTATTTAATTTATGTTAAAAGAATAAAAAACTAAAGACACCAAATATACAAAAATGAATCTAGTTAACTGTGAAATCATGATATCAATAAGTTTACGAGAACATCTAAAAATATCTGAAAGCCTAAAAGCCAAGTAGCAAGATACCTCAAAAGGATAATGTTATTTTACTCCTAAACATAAAATTTCGACCATTATCTAAAATAACTTAGCATGATGAAGGCGGTCATACAAGTTGGCTATTCTTTGAGATTAATGGTTTACAAGATGTTATAATTCCCTTCAAATAAATTTATTTATAAATCAATATGAATAACCTTTCTCATCTGATCTGTCCTAGGCAAAAGTAGAATATTTAACGAATAAATTCTTAATAATATAACTTACTCGTCTGGAATTTCTGACATCAAGTTGATTCAATTCTTTGTAATGTAATCTCAAAAACAGTAATCTTATTGATAAAAATTATCTTTAGATCTTTGAACTAATATAATTAGCTTTTCCGTGAATACATTTAACGACCTCCTTAAATTTCTATAATCTAGTGTCAAATTTTACGATTATCATTTAGCAGCATCTTAAATTTCAATCTCATTATTACCCTTTTTTTATTTTTTCCACCCATATGCTAAACCTATCAAAACATTTTTGTACGAAATAAAAGTTTGGTTTATATGGCTATACAACTACTGTTCTGATGTTTCAAAATAATATAATTCGATTGTATGGCGAATGGACATAAAAATATATTAGGTGGATATTCATATTATGACCAGAACCTAGTACATTTCGCTTTAAATGCTAACTCATTGTCCACTAAGCTACTGAGTGCGAAGTTGTTGATATTCAAGATCTTAGGAATCATTGTTTACTAAGATATCTACATCGCACTGGGATCCCTTGATATCACCTCTAAATTAAAATTTTCCAGTTAATTTTGAATATTAGCTTTCCGAATGATTTCATGCTCGGTGAATAAAGTATTGTCCGCCTGAACACACCTGCTGAGTAGATTAAGCGTTTGCATCCGGAATAGCAGTTACTAGTTTCAGTGTTAACACTGACCAGGAATTGCAATTATATCCAACTGACAAGAAATAAATAAACGGATTTTGACGTTCTGAATCCTCCAGCTGGTCGAAATCCAAATACATTAATACCACATAATTAAAAAGCCAAGAAGTACATATAACAACAAAGATTAATCCTTTACGCTTCTAAATATCATCAGCGAAAAATCACAAACCAATACTAAGAGGTATCCAACTATTTCTGTGAATTAGTGGAAAGTGTTAGCAGTAGAGCTAAAATGAATTTCAGTATACTTCAATGATTATCGTTTAACAAACGAATTAATTGAATAAAATATCACCCATTATGTTACTGTGAATCCAAAATATTAATTTACATCACCATCTATTTGATCAAACCAAGCTGGGTTTGGCGAGATATCTATTTGTGTCAATTTGAATAATATTGTTTTGATGTAAACAAAGAATTTATTGATGAGATACTTAAATTGAATGATTATATACAATTAGAATGTCGGTTACATTATTAGGATTCAATCTGGAGTTAGTCGTACAATTAATTACTGACGAACATGCCAATAAGAATACATAAAAACAATCTATTCGATTATGCAGTTTACATAGTTTATGATTTATTGTCGTTTTCGTGATGCTAATAACAACTGTAATACAAATCGGCATATTAATTGAATTTTTACATGACTTTATTTGAAGTAAATTAAAAGCAACTGTTTCACGAATAAGTTAATTGACAGAACTGGGAGTTACTTCAATTCAATTAAATAGATTATGATTTATTGCTGTTAAGGAAGTATTATATACATTTTTTTTTAATTATCCTACATGTAAACTCTTGTTTTAAATTAGTGAGTAAATGGCGGTAAATTATCTTGATTTAAATTGTTAAAACTAATTTGTTTGTTTAGTGTTTAATAACAATATATAATTAGATTTATGGATAATCACTTTTCCCTATTAGTACTTGAACTACATTGAAGAATGTTAGAGAGAACATATTCCACACTTTTGTGTTTTCATTTTTATTGAGATTAAGATAAATACAAAAAATTATTGAAAAGTACGAAAAAGGCTAATAAAATGTCATTTAGATTAATAAGTAATGCTGCAACTTAGTCAATGGAATTTTACATTACCCACCTCTAAATAAATATGATGGTTACTGTTTATTAAGCAATCAAAGGAACCAAAAGTGGAAATTATTTTCATCATATATGATTACAAAGTTATGCACCTTCATGATGAACGCTTGAGGTTTCGTCCTTTTCTAAAAAAAAACAAAATTCAAAAAGTTTATGCTCTACAATTAATAAGTAGGTGAACACAAATTATACGTTAGTTATAGTAAGTTGTCGTCCTTTTAAGATTTTTATGTGAACAAAAAGATAAAAGATCAAGTGCAAATAAGTCTTAAATATTTAGTGATGGGTTGAGTTTATCAAATGAGTGGATGTCACAATTAATCGTATCCATCACTAGACAGTTTCATTTTTCTGAAGGTTTTTAATCTTAACCATTGATCGAAAAACAGGACTGATGTACTGTATTAATAACCATGCGATCAATTTCTTGTCTAAATTATACATTTACAAAGATAGTTAATTATTATCATATTTTGAGTGTAATAGTATACGAAATCTAAACAATACTTATTTTTAGTGCAACATGATATGATTCATTTTGTTCGGAACACACTAATGTCCAGTATTATTTAAATAAGGATCTTGTGATGATAAAACAATAAAGATTACTTTCCAATTTTACTGAATTCGTCATATGATTGTGTGGAATTATCTTTAAGGTATTTTTGGTTGTTAAGTGATGTCAGAGGTCGAAATATATAAAAACACAGTAAAGTGAGAACCTGTTTTAGATCCATAACGAGACTCTCAATAACGTCTTTAAAACGACTACACGTTGATACCATGGTTCATGACCCAGTTATGTCTGGAGTCGTAGCTGCATATTTCTACTGCGTCTCGAATAAAGGTGAGTTTTTCAACGTTTTGTAATTTCACTAAACATATGCAGTATAAATGGTCTAGTGAAATACACTTTAAATTGAAAATGGATCTTTTGATCTGTCTTCGCTAAAAACGCTTCTTTTAACTTCTCATACGTTGTCAAATAGTATAAAAAGTGATAAAAAGTGAGACGAAACCATATAGTTTTGCAAGCGACTTTGATACGAATAAATCTGACTACTGGTCGAAATGTAAATTGGGTAAGCTTTATGAAAATATATTCAAGAATAACAAAATCAAAAGTTATCCAATTAAATTATGCTAGCTTCCATCTGCATATCTAAATACATCAAGTTTAAGTACATGTCAAGATAGCATATCTCTGGAAACCAAACTTCCTGGATTCATTTCTCTGTAATTCACTTTTTATAACGAAGACAATAATAATTAATTAACTGTGACTCAAATTTAATTTAAGCGCAAAGTCTATTCATTGGTACTTCTTTTGAATTCAACTAAATTGTTCATTAGATTACCTATGTCCACATTCACTCCTTTATTTAAAGCATGCAAAATTTTGGATAGAGGCATTATTGCTTTATATGGACCAAGCTCAACATCATTATCACAAGCTTTGTTGTCTTTGGCCAATCGATTTGGTTTACCATATGTTGAAACACACTGGAATATGATACCAAGAAAAACTACTTATGCCATACATTTACATCCAAGTATAGAAAGTTACGGAATAGGTTTATATGAATATTTAACTCAGGTGGAAAAATGGAAACGTATGACACTCATCTACAATAAACCTGAAAGTAAGTTTAAGTCATACATTATTAAAATTTACTAACCCTGCGGATTTTTTATGAAATATATTCGTTGTACCTTAGTGATGCACTCTTCAATCAAACCTATAATAGAACTAATTACTTTTAACTTACCTTATTAAGTGGTGTAAAATTACTGTTCCGTAAGTTCTACCTGCCAAACAAGAACATGTAGTATACCATACTGACATGTTATCTTAGGTCAGTCTCTCAATAATTATATTTCATTTTAAAAGTGAGCAAGCACCATACAGTGTCTTTTAAACAAAATTTAAAACAACCTAATACCCTGGAGAACTGCATTCTGTATTTTAAAATCACTGGACAACTTCACACTATTTAGATACATTTCAATCAATATGAAGTGAACATTTGACACTGTTTATTCTATACAATAATGACACTAGTAGATCTAATATAAATAAATTTTAATGTGGAAGTTAACACTATGAAGTCTCACACAACGATTTTCATAGTATGTATTCAATACTAGTGAGAATTTATTGGCGGATATCATACATTCAATGCTATCTTTGAAACATTTACATCGGAGTTACATCTGTTATCATGACTAATAGTTTCATAGAATATATCTATTTTTCATATTATTTTAGGTTTGCTCAAATTTGCCACTTTAGTAAATAATTTTGAAGGAATATTAAAAATTAAATCATGGGATGAAAATGCAAGTGGTGCTAGAGCAATGATGGCAGAGTTAGGATCAGGATTGGAGAAAAATTTTCTTGTGGACATTCCCAGTTGGCAAGTAACCAATTTCTTAGTTATGGTATGTGTTTTAGTTTAATTGGTGAATATTTATTAAACAAGTTTAATTGGAATAATGTATCCATGTAGCAGACGGTAAATATTTTCATCTGGATACAAAATCTTAGTTTCAAACCTAAATTCAGGTCCAATGGAAAGTTGTTACAAACAATACAATCAGGAAAGTGAAGTTATAAAAAAAGGTTGCAAATTTTATTCTAAAAATATATTACCAATGACGGTTGATTCTAATAATTGTAATACTTCCGGGACAGAGCTTTATGTCAAAAAATGTGCGATTGTTTTTTTTTTTTTTAATAATAGGCTTTCAGAAAAGAGGTTCTAATTTTTAAAATATTCTTCTTTTGTGCTAGATATGGGTAGCAAAGAGGTTTTATCAGAATTTATACATCACGTGTGCCCAGTTGTTTCCTACTTATAAACCTATGAATGGGTTCTAATGCGCAATGAATTCCATACGAATACCCGTGCAGAACAGTAGACCTTAGAATTCATATACCTGACTCATTATAACCTGAAGTCAAAAAGTCAGGATCTGATGGAAACAATAAAAATAACTATTTCTTTCAATACAGAAATAAATCACAAAAAACTTGACCAAATACATATATATTTTACGTTGCCAGCTGTCATCAATGTTGCAACCCTCAAGCTCTTATCTAAACTTGAGCTATATAAGGAAATGAAAAATTGCTTCATTTTAAATTTGAACAGTTTTCAAAATGTATAAGAAGCTTAATGTCTGAATAAATCGATGAACACCGAACTTTTAATTCTGTTGGTATTTCAAATCAAATAAGATTTTATTTATATTTCCTTTTTAGTACAGGCACCATTCACTTCTCAACACTTATTGAAGCTTAATTATATTAAAGTCAGATCTATTCCATAGAACTAGAGATATTTATTTTTATAAGGGTTGAGGAAACCCAACTTTAGGCCTAGAATTTGTGTTGAGGCATCGAGTACGTTCAACTTTACATTATGTACCATAATGCTACATCACTTGTTTTCTTAGCTGCATTACTTGCATTAGTTGGTACACTCTTAGCACTCACTACCAAAGAAAGGATTGTTGTAACAGTATTTGTACATTATAACCACAATTTTATATACTTTACTGCGTATCAATATGACTTTTGTTTGTCTTTGTTTTATCTCTTACTTTCCTCTTTTACATCTTTTCTACATTTTCTAAAATGTTTATATGATTTAATATCTCACGTGCACATATATTTCTTCTTACAGGCATATGTGCACAATATGACCGGCTTTCAGTATACTTTCATATTCACAGATTGGGTAAGTACATGTTATCACTTTATCTAAACATTTCAGTGACATACTAATTCATTAAAATACTGTTGTTCAGTGCTAACACAGTTATTAAAAAAGGCGGTTATTCAAAGCAGAAAATTCGTTGAACGAGAAGTATGATGAACTGTTTAACTTAATATCTTCCTCAAAGTAAAACGTTTAGATTGTAGTCATCGTTTAATGAATAAGGTTTAGAAAATGAGGTTGATAAGAAATAGCAAGTAGTTTTTATTTGATTACTTAGTTATATATAGATCTGTAGCACAACATATTTCAAATTATACTACTTAACAAACGTTTAATCTTGATAAGTCATCCAAAATCTGGAATCTGATTCACAAGTGATTGTCATATAAATAGTATTACATTTAAAGTCACCCTGTAGAAAGTAATGCGTATTCCTAAGTTTTCCGCATAGCAATCAAATCCTCACGTTTCTCAGTAAAAATCAATAGCCTTTTCCATATATGTCGTAAATTAATATCCGTTCAAATTAAATATATGAAATTGCTCATCTGGTTCAACTTTCAATGAATAAATCTGCGAAACTAGTTTCATTACACTTTAAAAATCTACCTTTGATATGTTATGGAATGAAATAGTAAATCAGTGACGTTTACTGAGTAAAAAACAACGAAACTACTCTGTGTTAGTTAACGAATAATTTGTATGGTGACGAGAAGCAGCGTTTCAAACGATTAGGAATCAATTGTATTCAAAATTACAGTAAATTACCTGGTAGTTAGGGTTTCGAAATGCTTTAATATTCTTATCATGTTACGTACTATATATAAACCTTTCATAGTCAATACATGTTGAAACTAAATTGATTGATAATCTGTAGCGTTGTATATTTGTCATAGGTAATATCAAATAGAAAACGATTCAATAGTGAAACTTCCAATTAATTAATCAATATATAAAAATGAGGAACTCCCTATTAAAGAATAAACTGAAACAGTAAAAATGCATTAAAAAAAAACATTTTCCATTAATAGAAGTGATCATCCTAAGTCGTAATAATTCTGAAAAGTAAATTAGATTGTCACAAGAAATAACGATTATATTTTATAGAAACATTTTTGCAATATAAATATTCCTTAAATAAAGTCGTCAGACTAAATATTCACACTCAAGATATATATCTGTAATAAGAGTTTTGGTAGCCTTATAACACTCTATCAACACCCCTTAAAGATCTAATTCGAACAAATGACTTCCTGCAAACTAAGTTAAAAGGATACTCTTGTCATTAACTATGGTCAAGTATTATTCCCTAGCAGTTAGTGGTGTTTAAAGTTATTCAGTTAGCACAGTATATTGGAATATCGACTTAATCCAAATCAATAAGGATAACTGACTGGTAGAGCATAGTCAATAAGTTAAATAAAATCGAACATTATTCACCTGTTGATCACTTATTTATTTTATTGTCTTACTTAGTTCAATAAATATTCGATCGCTTTCCAAATGTTCATGGATTCGTAAATGAAAACCACAACACTTGCGCCGAATTTTGAAAAAAAAGCAGTTTGAAAACCTTTTAAGTCATATAACATGAATTTCGGACTTGTTTATTAATTAGTAATGTTAATAGTTTTGCATGGTAAAACATGTTTACTGTTTGCTACCGATTACACAAGGAACATGAACTCTCCAATCAACAGTTTTTTATTGTTTTTGTTAGGAATCTCAATGAGTATATGTTTCAATAAAACTGTTAATTTACTCTTAGGGTTACAAAATAAGCATACTGCTTATGTCAAATAAATGTGTTTAGAGTTAGTAGAATGACGGCCCAGAATATGTCATTTTTGCTTTATTTCAATTGATAACAAAGAATCCTATCAAATATCAAAGAAGCTGTTTGATCGTAGGGATCGCAATTCACAAAACTTTGTTTGGATGGTAAGTTAATTAGGTGAACAAAATCTCACGTCTGAACATTTTTGGAAGCATTCAAAACGTAAATAAATTTATCCTTCCAGCTTCCCATTACATGTAATTGACTAACTGGAAAAGATTACTTGACTCACAAGAAAATAAAGCATATTGTAGTTCAAACGCGGAGAGGTTGTATTTGCTGCTAATGAGAAGTTGATAGCTGTAGTATCCACTTATGTGCAACGCAAACTAAGTACACAGGTTATGTGTAATAAATACCAGCTTATTCATTGCCATACTATCTAGACGTAGAGGTTGTTTAAAAATCAAAAAGATCATGTTGTTGAACGATTTAGTTTTATTTGCGTGCACAAATGTTAATAGAAAATTGAGCCGCACCTAAATCTGAGAAACCGCTCATCTATTATTGTGCAACATTTTTCGACGAACTCAAAACTAAATACTACAACTGGTCTGCAACAATAATTCATAAACCAACAAATTTGACTAACTATTCACATTTCTTTAATTATAATCTTCATTAGGAAACACATTAAGGAAATACTTATTAAACCACTCATACAAACGTAGAATGGATTTATTATAATCTTCAGTGGTTATTGAGCAATAGTTATTTGTTTAAGTGGAATAATTGAAACCAGTTGGTAGTGACATTTTTTGAATAAATTAAGCTTAACAACCATTAAAAAGTTACGTGATGGAAAAAATACTTATTTGGATTGGTTTATTTTGTGACATACAAATTATCTGTCAGTACATTACGAAAATTCAACAATATGGCTTTGGTTCATGGAAATTTATCATCCTATACCAACAAAATTGTCCTCATAAAACGAAAATTCCAGATCAATAGATAAACTGAAACCACATGAATGATATAATTTGTTAGATGAAATCAAACTAGTTGAATTCTAGACAATGGCTTATGGCTGTGATAAATTAGGCCTGATTAATAACAGTGTAAACCCCAAAGTTTTTGTTTGACTGTTGTAAATACATGCAGATAGTCTACACAAAATGATTTCATTTCATGTGTTAGGTTTACAACAGCCAATTTCAGTTGTAAAAGCTATGTATTCAAAATGTTATTATTTTATCATTACGAGTACAGTTACCACATGAATATCAAATGTCAATTATTATAGTATGTTAAGTACATAAATAGAAAAAATTCAGTATACCTTTCCATTCTAGACACTGTAGCATAGGGAAATCACACGTAACCCTGTAACTAACGGCCATACAGGTGAATAATGAAATATTATTGATATGCATAAATAGATAATTGTTTATCGACTGATCATACCCATTAACTAATAAAGTATCTTCGTAACAGAAGGTAAGTAGAAAAGCAAGAAACTACCTTTGTGATGTCCCGAGAAGTTTGCAAATAAAAAGTTAGGTCGTTAAAACTTAATAATAAAAATGTATGCAGTTTTATCTGTAGTAAGTAATACAATCTGGTACTAGTTATACAACTCGGCCTTCATATGAGTTAATGATACACATTCACTGATTTTCTAAAAGGTAAATGAATATATTCAGTTTTTTTGTTCGAAAATTTTGAACGATCAAGTCGTAATAACATCAAAAACTAATGAAGTATTATTACTAATCTTAATTAGCCATTTTGAGTTGGTTAACTGCCATACAGAATGATATCCATGATAACAAGTAAACTACATGTCCTCCCCAGATATGTTATTTCATTAAGTGATTGACCAATCAAAACAGTTCGATTTACAAAAAAATCCTTAGTAAGAAACCCATATTAAAAATTTATCACTTTATATAAAGTTCACTGAGGTTTCCAACCAAATGAAATCCAAAAACGTATATATAAAACGATTTACTATGCTGAATTATGAAATCTGTACTGTGTACCGTTTAACAATATCTTACTTTCGGGATTTATTAACTAATAAAAATATCTTACAACTTGAAAACTATTGACTACTTTATGATAGCACCATATAGAAGTAATACTTTTTATTGTTGGAATCATTAAGAATTAAATCACCTTTGATTACAACAGGTAAGAACAAAAATGAGTAATTCCTGGGAATATGACAAACTGAGAATAACTTCCTGTGACGCTTATTCATTAACATCTACTTTTTGTTAAGTCTATCAAAGAACATTTTACAGGTTTATATAGCTGCATGTTTCGGGCTACACTCAAGCACATCAGTTGGACAACACATCTTTTCACAAAAACGTGTATCCAAAATAAAATTATTCTGATTATATTTTCAGTATCAATTTGTAAAATTTGTTTTGAAGCATACTCATACATTTAGTGTCTATACTAAGCCAAATTGTTTACATCATTACCTGTTTCCGGCAATAAACTTGGTGTGATGGTTTATGTACTGTTTCTTTACTGTGTTATTTTGTTTTACAGTCTGATTACCACTCGTTTTGAAGATATGTTTGCTATTATATCTTCCATTTGGTCAACTATGATAGATGTGCATAGGAAGACATTTTAAAGCAAATCGTATCATTTCATTGAGGAAAATGTTTCTTAACACTAAGAACTAACGCATTAAATATTCTTTACGGTATATTGGTTCGGTTCATTTATATAAATTGCCGTAGCACGTACTGTACCTAAAAAGTGAAATTCTGAAATACGAATTTGGTTGAATGAGACTTTAGTGTTATTAGTATACAATATTATATGTTTGATTAGATTGAAGAATTCTCAGCACTAAAAAAAGGTATTCAAGTTCTGAATATTAAAATAAACTTTGTATAAAAGTCTTTAAACAGTGGTTAGCGACCATTTATACCCATCTGTAAATGACTTGTTCCCATAAAATCTTCACCATCGTCTAATTTTATAAGAATTCGATAACAGTTGCATTTGCTTTCTCCAAGCGATAGAAGCGATAAAAATATAAACAGCCGTTGTGGTACTTCTTGAATTTTCGGTTATTAGATACGCAATGTGTAGTAAATATTATATGAATGCGTGTAAGTATACGTGATTAACAAACATAATTATTTAATCAAAACAAATTTGAAACACTAAAACCCAAATAGCAAGAACAAGAGGATCTTCACTATAAAATGAATTCATTACATTTCGCGACTCCTCACTAGCTACAAACGACCTTCGACAATGTATTTGATTTTGAGATGGTACAGAAAAAAATTTTGAAAACATGAAGAAGACACAAATTATTTAACATAGTTCTTAAGATTGATCATTACTTATGTGCTAAAATGCAGTAAAATTTAAAAAGGAATTGATATAATCAATACTAATTAAGAGATAACATGAAAAACAATTTAACAAATGACTGATCATATATATAATCAACCTCTTCAGTTGATACACAATCAAAACCAATATCACGAATGAGTGTCGGTGGGATATTCAAAATATGGAATGGAAAAAATCATTTAGCAGCGAACCTTACATCACTGTATTCACTTTACCATGGCAATGAAAAGCTTCCTGATCTTTCTTTCTGGGTGCAAGGTTTGGTTTACAGTACTTAATGAGAGTAGTACCTGCTGAACGAATTGAAAGTTGTATTTGCTGCTAGCTTATTATTTTGAGCGCTTTTGTGATGTTCACTATATTCCCATTGTAAAATGACTGTCTATTGATGTCTATTATGGTACTAAATAAACGTTTGAAAAATGGCGAAGTTTAGGTACAAATCTGCTTTTCTTTGGCAGTTAAATTAACGTCAAGATAATATGTAATGACATTTAGGTAGTTACGGTGAGATCCTATTAGTATCAAATCTGTCAAGTTAATAGAAACCACACGCAGCATATATTGACTTTTATTAGTCCGATGTATAAATACAGGAAATATAGATGCAGGAGTTTTGCATAATATTGACTAGTTTATGTACGTTTCGTTTTGCATTTTGTTCTCTAGTCTGATCAAGCATTTCATGTACCCCTTACGGTTTTATATATTAATCTTCAACAATAAAACACTACGTGTTTTTCGTAAGCTTGGTTGGATTTACTTCAAACTACGTGTTTTTGTTTTAGATGTTTTTCGTTGACGTGTCATTTTAGTTGGTATCACGGAATTACTGAGCATTATGACATAATTGCCTAGCATTAAGTTAAAAAACCGCCTCAAGCATATTTGACATTTTTCTTGAAATAACCTTATCGATGTCTAGATCTTAAGTTCTGAACTGCTCTCTCTTTTTTAGGATATTGCAATATTAGATTTAAGCGCATTCAAAATTGATGTAGGTGCAAGAATCAAAGCAGTTTCAATCATTCCTAAAGTTACTTCATTGGACATAAATAAAACACCTCAACCAGAAATGTTACCTTATAAGAAAACTCTTGAAAATATTGCTAGTTCAAAAGATTTTTCCAATGGAAACCCTACTGTAAGTTAATGTTGATTTTTGCAAAATACGTTTTACAAGAAATTGACGAAAGGTATTTATAGAAATGTCAAAGAGCAATCTACAAACCCCATTCGACTCCATATACTGTGAAAATAGACACAACAATGACTTTAGTTGAATATGTGAATATTTGATAATTTTACCAACGGATGACCTTTTATTAACTTTAAAACACGGCGATAGACATTCTACTGTAGTGGCTCAGCTTTGCTAATCGATCACCTTAATAACTGTTATTATGTAAATCCCAATGGTGTTTGAAATTAGAAGACAATAAGAAGTGGCGGCTACGGTTTATTAGAGAATATAACGGACCACAAAGCTACATTCACACCAATCCAGTTTAAAGCAGAGAGGCGAATGTGTATGCCAGTTTAGGTAGGCGAATTTATAGTCAACTCGAGTAGGGACATAGTAAGGCAAAGTCCATTAATAGGATTCGAGTACATATATACATGAGGGAAGAGAATGATTCATCGAAAGATATTTAAGCTATCAACATTTAAGCTAGAGAGAGATATGTATGTAGGCTGTCATGTGATCAAGCGTACACATTTATACAGACAAGATAGTGATCATAATAGTACAAAGAATAGATGAGTTGTTACTGCTTAAGTAACATTGTCTGTTAAGTAAGTTAATAAAAGGGCTTAACCAAAATTCATCATAATCGAAATTGATTGTATGAAAGTTGCTACACTCTTTTTCTTATTCAGTTGCTATACTATCTATAATTTTATCGGTATGTTTAGATCACGTTAATATATGCTAATTTTATCGAACTCAGAATCATGTTGCAAAACTACTATCGTGTTAAAATACTTATGTCTTGAAGGTAATTATTTTATGCACTAACTTTTCATCAGGTCGCATATCCATAAGTTCTAATAAAAAGAATAGAGAAGTTAGTGATTTACTATGAACAGATTACGAAGTTACCAGTGTAGTCAATAAAAGTCTAGTAGCGTTTGTAAATAGAAAAGTACCTTGGAGATAATAGGAACTTGGATTGGCTTTTAAGTAAGATAAAGTGAAAAAATTAACGATCAGAATGTGCATATAGTAGGATCATTTAGGGTTAATTAACGCATGGTGAAATATAAATGCAACAAGACATAAAACATTAGTTGGCATTTAAAGTCATTTGTAAGTATAGGAACGAAACAGATTTGTGAAATTCAAGATACCAAAATACTGAGGTAAAGCTTATATGTAAGCTAAAGTGATTGGTTCATTTTATAGTAAAAGTAATTACCTCTAGTTTCGTTGCCCGTCAGGGTAGGAAGAGGAGTTAAATTGAATATTAAGAAAAATCTATTTTAAAATGATATCAAAACCCTCTTTTACAGTAATCAGTTTTTTAAATGAAGATTACCATTAAGTCTATCTTTTAATGGATTAGTAATCTGAAAAGATTTCAGTACGGTAAATCACTGAAAACGAGTTTCGACTATAAAGAGTAAGAGTAAAATGATCATAGTAGCTCATACACTAACGTGTCGGAAATTCTCTCGTGCTGTGGAACTTTATGTTCTGTTCAAAGATTTTTTCTATATATATTCATCTTTATCAATATATAATTAACATATCTTAATAAAAGTTATATTTATTCTTTATTGTATTTTTCAATTAGATTCAATTCAGTTTAATTTACGATAGCCTTATACTTCTAGCACATGGACTTAGTACGGTGACAAGAACAAGACCATTGTTACCACAGAAATTAAGCTGTGAACGTCCACCAGGTCTATGGCCTCTTGGGTTAAGTCTGATCAATGCAGTTAAATCGGTATGTTACTTACTGTAAATTGTTGTTTAGTTTAAAAACTAATAGACAGAAGTGCGACCAGATAATTTAGCTAGTTAGTTAGTTGTAACATTCCGATTTTACAATATCTATAAACTGTACACATACGGTAAATAAATAAATAATTAATTAATTAATTATGTTCAGTGGTGAATGCTACATAGTTACATAAAATCTAACTTTTAATCCATGTAAATGAAGACGGGAATTCCGTGTAATTAGATAGTTTTCATTTCGTTTTGGTGTAAATATAAATCCTTATTTACTGTGTTTTTTCCTTCAAACGACGGGCACGATGCAGAGGATGCCCTATTTTGTAGAAAAACTGGGTTGAACTCAAAAACATGGGAACACAATCGGACATACAACCATATAAAGGTGAATGTATCTCTCATTAAGGAAGTAGTTTTACTCTTTCTCTAATCGACGGATTAAAACCTTATCTCAGCAAATATATTAATAGTTTAAAGACCATCAGGCTTCTTGCGATATAAAAAAATAGATCAATTTATGTGTATTTAATGCACTAACTAAGAATCACACAATGGCATCAAAAAGTAGATAATGTCGGTGTATTCATATAAAATTTACATCAACAAGATAGGCAAAACTCACTAAAAGATGACGTAAATGAATGACTACGATAAGTTGGTCAAAACAATTAGATTTTCCTTTAGTATGTCTTGGCTTTGTGTATCCATGTTTTGTCGAACAATTGAATTGAGATTAGAGTTCTCTTGATGCGGGATTCACAATCGTTCTAATACATTTAAATAGTTTAAACGGTATGGTTTTTCTTTATACTGTGACTTTTCTAGCAATCATATTATGAGGTGTATGCTGGAATTAATATTCACCCAAGTTCGATAAATCAATGACTACGTAAATATGTTGTGGACACTCAATGAAACATTTGGAAATTATCTAAATGAACTCAGTAATCATAAAAAGTGGTTAAGTTACTAATAAGTATCATTACGGACTAGATTATCGTGGCGCTGCAGATAACAAGTTGAAAACACTCATATTTTGTAAAACTAAAGATCTAAACTAGTAACATCAAAAGTTATTGATATTATGAATTTCGATCTATTTATTGACATACTAACTTGATAGTAAGTCCTATCAAGGCTATAATTATTCTTCGTAGATTATGTTGCAGATAACTAACATTATGAGTTAACGATACCCTGATAGTTAAAACAGTCTATTTGGATAGCTAAATTATCACAGTCAAACTATTGTAATGAATCGTACAAATCAGTGACTGACAAATCATTTCAAATCAATTAGTTCTATTCGTTACGGTTACCAGTCTACCAGTAAGCTGAACAACCGGAAGTTTTTGGTGTACTTTGGTCCACTTCAAATTTTCCGATTCATATGGCTAAAAGCAGAAGAGAAGGTACTGATAATGTTTTCAGTCTGGAGTGTGAATCATGAAACTAGATGTGCCTCAAATATGAAGTCTTACCGTGGATTTCCTATAAACCGAAATACTTGAAATTTATTATAATACCGGCTTGAGTGGGGCTATGGTACGTTAAATGACGGGTATTAACGCCGTATACTATGTACTCCTGAAAGGAAAATGCAGTCCAAGTGCAATTACGTCGGCTAATATCCTTAGATCATAATTAATCGAGCGTTACATAGCCCTAGCGTTCATTTAGGATGAAATGCGTCAGCTACGTATGTGGATAAATCAAAATCAAAATTCTCAATATATTTCAAATCTGACAATGATACACATCAGCAAAGCAAGACTTTATATTCTTTAGATGATCTACGATAAATACCAGTAGAATATATTTTGAAGACCCATGTTTATCAATATTCATTACATCACAGATATTTGGTTTACTTTGTTGCGTTATCCGGTTTAAATCACTAAATAGATGAAAAATTATCAGTATTTAATTTAATCTAGAGGTATTTTTAAGGGTGAAAGACGCTATTTGCTCTGAATGTCTTTTAAATGTCTCACACCTTAAGAACAAATAGTCAGACTTCGTTCACAATGGAGTTACATAGTCGAAAAATGCAAAATAACATTCGTGCTTGATTTACCAGTTAATTATTTGTCATTCACCTGTTTTCTCACAGATTAGACATCATTAATTGTTTGTATGTTTCTAATAATTTTGTTCATTCTCTATTTACTTTGTGATATCAGAGGACACAGAACACAACATTATGCACAACACTATTACCGTATATGGTGTTGACCATTATTGTCAGAAAAGAAGTTGCTTAATTATCTTGGCATAGAATACAAAATATTTTGTTTCTATGTAAACGGAATAACAAAATCAACTCGTACAGCTTACATTTGGATCTTATTTTTCAAAATCTTATAGGTAGCGTCAGAAACTATTCGGGGTTTAACAAGTCCCTTCCGTTTTGACAAACACGGTTTAAGAACATTATTCGATCTAACTACTCTGGAACTAACCCAGGGTGGATTTAAACCTGTAAGTAATGAATGATAAAATGTGTTCCCACTTAACTTCTAAGGTCTAGTAATAGCAATCTAAATTTATAATACCCTTTTCCCTTCAAAGAGTATTTTTCATTCTTTAAATAGTACTAAACTCTGCTTGATAAAGAAGTATCTATTCGCAACTGTACACATGTTAATATCATTATCATATATACATCAGGTGCTGAGTCATTTCCGTAAATTTTCATATGAGATTGTTGGATTGAGTTGGTGCAGGTTTGTGGTTTTCAAGGAATGTGTTTTACTCTTAAGGCATACGTAGGAATGTATTATAGTCGTCAAACCAATTCACTGATTAACTGATAAGATCAGTGTACAACATAAATCTTAATGGACCAGTACAAATGTTTAGTATTCCAAGATGTATTACTGTTGGTATACAAAGGGTTTTCTTTCAAACTTTTGCCGTACATTTTTTTACAATTAAGGTGTAGCTACTAATCTTAACTCATAATTCATTTTTTGAGTAAATTATTTTTAAAATGGTTTCACAGATTTCGTCCTGTAACACACCTATCAGCCGTTTAATTATCTAACACACCATGTACATGTTAAAAAAAGTGTGTATAGAGTATCAAACAGCTAGGCAACTTACTAAGATCAAATCAACATTAGTTATCTTGAATTACCAACATAAGATTATGATTTGAAATAGAATAATATTTGAAATTAAAATCATTGCTATAGTGTGTAAATATAATTTTTTTCTGATATGCGGTTTTGGACTCCATAGCTATCGCTTCATATGAAATAGTTACACTAGATTGTTACAGCATTTAATCTACTATTCTCTATTAATCAGAAGTGGAGGAGGAAATATTTTTATCGTATAAGAGTACGATCCATTCATTTAATAGTTTGATGTAACCCATCAACCATCAGACTAATTTTACTAAAATCTATGAGCTTGAGAATTAATCAAAGTTAGCATTCAATGGCCCTTTGCCTTTAGTTTGAACTTTTTATACAATATTTATGCCATATTACAAACTGAACTATTACTGAGAATCTCCATTCCTATCTCTGATATAATCCTTCAGAGTAAATGAGTTAGAATAAAGTCTTCATTTAAGTTGGAACTAAGTGCGACAGCCGCTCGGTTTAACCAGTAGAAATTAAGCTACGTAGTCCTTAAATCCTTTAGGTTTCAGATATTTGTCTTTCATTTGACTAGTTCCAAATAAAATTATTAAGTGTTCCCGTATTTTCACTTCACCGGTGGGAAAATGTTAGTAGACCAGTGAACATTCAAACACACTATGTGATCATTTGATAGTGGTGGGCTACAATCTGAAAATAATTTGACGGATAATATATAAAAGAAATAATCCTACAAACAAGTGAATTATAAGATAAACTCTAAGGGTTCTTGCTTATTCAGAACCAGTGTTTATATTTACTGCCTGGCTGATTGTTCATCCTTGAGCACATATTTAATTCGGAGGGTAAGTTACTAAAATATAATTTATACAGATCGCTTGTGACAATTTAAACCAGGAGGTGTTTTTAAATCCATCAGCTGACCTTAATCATCTTACTCTTTCCTTAATTCTGAATACTCAAAAATTAAATCAAATAGAAACCGAGGATTGATCTTGTTAGCTAACATGGTTTAAAGATTGATTATTTAAACACAAATTCCATTATTAAGCAGAAACCTTCGTCCCATTATTACTTTGAACATATAAAACCTTTGTTTAACTTATCCAGACCGCGTACAGGACAAAACAGATTCAAATTTTACATTAATAATACCTTTTTTTCAGCAATAAAAACTGGCTGACTAAGTAAAATGTTTCGTTTTGATTTCTTCCCCCTATTGAGGATGAGTGAGAAATCCACGAGGAATAAATTTTTGATTTATTGTTGCATCGACTGTCCAATTTTTTTCAACACTAACCACTGGTAATATCAATATGTTTAAAAAAGAAATAATTTCAGTTAACAGAATCTATTGTGTTCTGAACTACATTTTTTGGCTGTAAAGCTTTACGTTAATATTCATTCTGTCGTTCGAAAATGTTAGCTCCTATGATAAAAACAATTATTTATACATAACCGTAATTGCATACACAACTATATATTTGCTAATAGAAATTTCTAGCCCTTTATTGTACTAATTACTTGCTCCACGGAATTTATTTTTATCAGACTGGAGTATGGAACATAGATGAAAGAATGAAAGTTGCAAAGCAACCTGCAATAACGTTACCAAAACAGTTACCCAAAATCAAAGGTGTAGTCTTGAAAGTCACAACAATCCCTGTAAGTTTTCATTGATGAACAATAGAAAATATGACATTATAATTACTTGCTTATTATTTACAGATGTTAAAAAATATCAAAATGATTAAGTAATATTCATTTAATAAGAAATAAAAAAATCCTAGGAAACATATTGACGTTGAAGTCAAAGAAATCATTGGTTTCATCATAATAACTCATTAGTGTTTTGATTGCTTGAAATTTTTAGGATGCCCCATTCATGATTCCAATCAAGTTTGATGCATATGATAGACCATTAGGTACACCTGATGCATGGATGGGATATTGTATTGATCTGTTGAATCATATCGCATCAGATGTTGGATTTAATTATACAGTTCATATAACACCAGACAGACAATATGGATCAGGTATAGACGTTGGAAACGGAACCATTTTCTATAATGGCATAATGGGAGAACTGATCAGAGAGGTAAGTGTGGTTAAGGAGAAATACGATTGGTTTTCTTTCATCATTATTAATCGCTATAAAGTTACCCCAAAAAATATTTTATTCGATGTATTTATTGTTGTTCTACACAATTTACCTTTCTGAATGACTTATTTTTGTAAACAAGCCTAAAATTAAATAGTAACTTTTACCTTGACACTCTTTATGTCAAATTACATATTGTTTTTATAATTTAATAGTAATTTTCATCACAAGGTAGTCAGTTGAAGAAACATCGCGATTGCAAGAAAAACGAATAAATGTTCATTAAGGTTCAAGTTTTTACGGAGTTGTGAACATATGACTTCACATCAGATCAAACCTGGCTCCTTCAGATTGTACTTGATTGGAGTTATGTTAAACTTAAGTTAAAAACATGCATTATAAACAGAAGTCAAATACATTGGTAGGAGGTAATGATAAGGATGAGACTTGTGTTTTTTATAAAATTTAAATCAGCTCTGTCGTAAAAAAGGTCTATACATTCTTGTTCTTGAGGCAAATAACTTCCATCATCATAAAATCTGAACATATAATCTAAATAAATTGTTAATAAATTTTGTATAATAATTAAGTTAAATAGAGAACACTAATCTCTTGTAGTAGGTTCAGACAAACAAACCTTCAACAAATAAAATGTTGATTAACTGTCGATTTAAAGTGAGTTTTTCCTTTAATTTGCTTTAATTCGGTACTATAATGCATCGAAATAAACTCAATTAGATTATACACGGATGAGATAACCTCTTTGGTTGGCAACTACTTTAATTTTAAAAAGAACGTGTCTAGCGAATTAATCATAAATAATAAAAATCAGTTATTCTAATAGATTCCCTCTTTGTTCTTCTCTGTATACAGGAAGCTGATATGGCTGTAGCCGGATTTACAATAACATATGAACGTGAAAAACTTGTTGATTTTAGTACACCGTGGATGACTTTGGGTGGGAGTATTTTATTTACAAGACCAAAAAGTCAAAAGCCATCATTGTTTTCATTTCTTCAACCACTTTCACCACAAGTAAGCTAGTTTACTGGCTCGAACAATTAAGTTATTATACGTAATTTTAATTTATAGTAATTTTATTTCTGTGTCGTTTAAAAAACAAAGGTGTTCATTAACTATAGTTTCGTCTCAATTGATACTTGTTACCTGGGTGTGACTAAATCCCATTGTTGGTTTACACAGTAGAATTCGAACTGAGTACCCGTCACTTAAGATAAAGAATAACCGAATGAGTCCAAATAGCCGCTAACTTGTTTAATGGGTATAAAATTATTCATGAGGGTTTTAATTTAGCCAGTATTGACTTTCAAGATCAAAATTACTAATTCTCACTCCAACTTGACATAATTTTCTTACTACATTTAAACATCGAGATATCTGACTCGGGATGCAGATATTTTTGTGGGAATTGATCATCTATAGTCTAAAATGTCAACAACAGGAAAATATGAAGCTTAAGAAATTAATGACCTACTGCCTAACTATTTAAAATTGATCACTACGAATTCACTGGGTGAAAATGCTTATTTAGAGTCCGTATCAACCATTCCAGCTGTTGTTTGCAAAACATGGGACATAAAATAAAGTATTGTATTGATAAACTAACATCTTATCTACTACTACTCTATTGCATGGTAGTAATTATCATGTTGATTTACCTTTGCTAATATATTTCACGTACAATATTGTAGTTGCAAACATTCTTAGTTTATGTAGAACTGAATACCAGGATCTTTCTACTAGAAACATATTTGTTTGATATGCTTTAACATTAACCCCAACCATTTTGCATCACCGAACTTTTGTTGATTTTCAGGTATGGTTATACGTGGGTTTCACGTATTTAGCTGTGTGTTTGTGCTTATTTGTTGCTGCCCGTCTTTCTCCACATGAATGGACAGCAACACATCCTTGTGAAGAAGGTGGCGATACAAGAAAAAATCAATTCACACTATTAAACAGCTTCTATTATAATGTATCTGCTTTACTGAATCAAGGTATCAGGTTTTATCCTACAATAATTTTGTTTTTTCCATTTGTAAGTTGGTGATAAAAACAAAGATTTAAATGTTTCAACATGAAACAAATTCATTTGGAATTCTCCATTTAGCGAACCAAGAAGTTTATCACTTACGTGATAAACGAAAGTTGATTACTGTCATTTTACACAATATTGATTTAGTGTACTGTAATCCAATAATGGAATATTAATCATCTTATTGATATCAAAAATTGGCTTCAAATCAATTGCAACTGATACGAGGTTGTGTAATATTTTATCAGTAAATAATTTTATCCCGTGATTAGAACCAACTGCAGATCTGAACTAATCTGCACATACCACTCAAATAAACATTACCCACTGTTCACCTTCTGTATTTACGTTACTTGGTAAACGTGTCCATTTCATGGTTTAAGGTTTAATGTCATTAAATATGTCGTTCATTGAGATTTAATTAAACTGAACCTTAGCGCGAATGCATTCTCATAAATAATCCGACACTGAATTGTCTAGTAGCTATGTAATTCTATATGCGAATTTTAGTAACTTTTTCAATGTTTTAGTGTATTTATCATATGCAAAATGATTTATTTCACAAGTTTAAGGACATTAAAGTTTTTAGACTACTGGAATATGATAAAGGTTTACAGTTGTTGCATTCTATCATGGCTTTATCACTAAGTTATCCGAGTTATAAAATCCATCATTACCTTCAGTGATAGTTTAAAAACCTGTTTAACATAAAAATAAATTAAATTTTCGCATTATATTATACTTGCATAAAAATGTGGTAGTTTTGAGATTGAATTCATCATTCTTCTTTTCCCCACTAACGATGAAAATTACCGTGGAAGTAAAAACTTACTTTATAAGGTGTTGTGAAGGTTTTCAGATTTGAAGTTTTATATCACTGAATGAACCTCGTTATACAACCATTGAAAGCGAGTTAGCATTGGAAGCCTGCCTCACACTTGTAAAAACTTCTAGTCAGGTCATATCCATAACCAACAAGGGGTGGAACATAGAACCTTGGGCACTAAACCTTCCGATCACTGAGTTGCAGTCTAGGAATTTGCAGCCCCAACGTCAGTCAGGTTTTGATTATGCACAACCATCATTCATTTCCGTCGGTGATATTTTCCACATTTCCTTGTCAAACCAACTTGATGGTCTGAAGGTCTTATGTTCGATTTCTCGTTGATCATGGACGTGGACTACCCAAAAGTCCTATGATAGAATAAAATGCTATTCACTGTTTCTTGGTCTTTAACGGTATTTAAACCATAGTCTCACATCTTACATAACTGAAAAGTAGCTTTTTTGAGGTTTATCCAAATTTTGCTTACTCATACATTAGTATAGTATAGAGGTCAATCAAATTGTTAAAAGTTATTCCTTTATAAGCAAGGATCCGAAACAAATACGACACCGCTAATCTCAAATTTTCTCAAAGTATTAGGTATTTTTGAAATCTGCAGTATTTTTCCTTCTTATTTATGATGCTGAGTGTGTAGAAATGTCATATTTTATCTCTATATTCAATGATGAGGCTTTCATTCAAGTTACTCTTCTTTGTTTAAAATATAGGAACTGAACTTGCACCACACGCTACTTCAACACGATTGTTAACAGGAGTTTGGTGGTTTTTCGCCTTGATTATTATTGCTACATACACAGCTAATTTAGCTGCATTTTTGACAGTTGAAAATATGAAATCACCCATTGAAAGCGCCGAAGACTTAGCTAATCAAGAAAAAATTAAATACGGAACCTTGAAAAGTGGATCAAGCCGTGATTTTTTCAGAGTAAGCTATAATTTGCTACTATCTAACTAGAAAGGACAGATATTGATTGCGTTTTGTAAGAATGTATAAACAGTAAATAATGGATATAATAGGTTCTTACATAATTTTATATGGTAGTGATTTTGGATCTAACACGATGTTTTAAAATGCTCCACTTCATAGTTAAATTTTAGTTCTTAGCCGTTGTAGTGGAATGTCATCAAAAAGATGTGTTCTGAAAGTTTAAAAATTGAGATAAACACGTTTCACGCTAAACAACGCTAAAACTATTGAAAATTAATATGTTTCTTAGTGTTTTGTAGAGATTCATTTAATTTTTTAGTGTAGCTCTTCACATAGTAACCTCAGTTGTTGTATCACTGAAAACCAGGTGGCGATGGATAGTTGTTCTGTCATAATGCAAAGCATCTAGAAAGTATGTACCTACGACTGTGTCCAGAATTATCAGGTCTTACAGTCAATGCTTAAGCGTTGTTAGTCATGTGATATTGAGAAAAAACAGTTCTTAAAATTCATTTACAGTTAGATGTTTGAGAATACACTGTTGATTTATAGATGATTATGTTATCACATAAATATATTAGGAACTCTTCAATAGTTTATTTGTTATAATTTTTCGTTAACTTTCGAATAACTCGAATTGTGATATTTTGTAATAATTATGAGGGTACGTCGGCAGGTACCTTGAACGTGTGTTTCACACTAGTTGGTACGCAAGGTTTACCTGCAGTCTTATGGGAATCTTCATTACTCAGCTTCAAAACTTGAGCCGTTATCACTGCTTAGTAATTATTAATCACAGTTGTGCTGTTTTACAACATGATAGATTTGAGGCGAATACTTCTTCCACTACTCCAGTTTAGAATGCTCCCAACGCCTACAAAATATTCGTCTTATTTTATCCCTTCCTTTAAGAAATACCTATCTAGTAAGGCAGTTTGCATATTATATTGTTTTCATCAACAGACCTCATCTTTACCAACGTTTAAGAAAATGGGTGAATTCATGGACAAATATCCAGATGCTACTGTATCAACCACTCAAGAGGGGATTGAACGTGTTCTACAAGGTAATTATGCCTTCATTTTAGAATCAACCTGGAATGAATATTATGCTCAGAGAGATTGTCGTCTAACGCAAGTTGGAACATTGCTTGATTCTAAAGGTTATGGGATCGGATTTCCACAAGGTAAGTGTTTTGGAATGTGTTGTTGACATTGTCTTTCTGTCATTTGAAAATTAGACCAAGGGGAGATTGAAATAAATTTAATGTATAGGGATGCTTGAAATGTTATTTTTTATCATATTTTCAAAAGTTTCAGTATAAACCACGCTACACATATTATGTCAAACTCGTTAAAAGTAATGCAGAAGAAGAAATTTTCGACTTCTTAGTACATTAATAACAATATCAATCTCTACAAGTGTTTGAATTCCATCGTTAGTTTTATGGATCGATGTTAGTGGTATTTTTCAGCAATCAAGATATCTTCAGACGGTTTCGAACAAAATCGCTTTGAGGTTACTTTTCAGAAATTTAAGTGCTTACAGTTTTCTTAAATATCACCTTAAAAATTTTCAGGACACTTTTTGTGCTGTTATTATCTAATAGTGAAATATGGTTCTTTCAGTCCTACAGACATTATTCGATCATAGCTATCATTGAGTCTTGAGATTGAGAATTCAACATACTTTCATTGAATCAATATATGAAATAAGTAACCTGTTGATTGGTTTGAGTCCCTTTACTCCTGATATCTCACCTGCTTCCATACAAAGTATGGTTTTTTAACACTGGCCATAAGCAACAATGAATACTGGTATACTAATGAGTAGTCATGTTAAGCTAGTTTTGATGTCACATGATATTTTAAGCAAACGCCTAAAGATCACACAGCCTAGTGGTTTCCAGCATTATCATGAACGTTTCAGATTAGAACGATGTGGTTCTATTATGAATCTTTGGAAATTTCTATACTATAGTGCGATCAAATACGTGCTGATTATAGTCTCATTTGAAAACATGATCTTTGAGATTCATTTTTAATATTATGTTTTTGCTCTTTTTTCATTTACAACTGCAATAGTCTGCAAACACTTCTCTTTTACACATAAGTAAATGAAACTACTTCACAATGATATACTAAATAAGAATCCTTGTGCATAGAAATTTTGGTACGAGGCTATGAAAAATATCTTCATTTCAAACTTGGTACAAATTTGGCGGAATGTGATAATCATACCGAAGATTTGATTGCATAGGTGGTCAAATGTGCTACATCTTTACCATCTGTTTGTGGAACTCGTATAAAAGAAATTCTAAACAATGAAGACTAAGTTTTCTTGAGTCAGGAAACGGAAGACGTTTTCATTAAAATATCTGTCCATATCAGAATGTATGAAATCATCATAGCTAATTTACGATCACCGTTTAAGACTAACTGATGAAAAAAGAGGTTTAGAAAGTGTTGTAAAGGAATTTTATGGAACCTTAAAAATAAATAAAACGGCAGAGACAACGGTAATGAGAGTTAACATTAAGAAACATCCTAATAGAGTTTTGATGTGATATGAGATATATATGTATATTAATTCTAATTACAAAAGGATGCTACCTAAAGTTTTAAATTACAGCGTGTTGTTGGTTCACAAATCGTTAATCACAACTTCATTTTCTCACGAACTCTATATATGAGCACTATTTTTATAGTTCCATCAAGATAAGTCGAAAGATCAATGTTGAGAAGTTGTTTATCAACATAGCTATAGGATGTTTGTTCATTTCCCACCACTACGACTGTTGTATAATAAGTGCAATCCAACTGAAGAAATGAAAATACTCAGTTTATCATACTTCGCCCAATTTTAATTAACCGAAATAAGCTTTGATTTTTTTCTATTACACATTCATTATCTGCTTTTACCCATTTGGTTAACTATAATATTAAGGTTCACCATGGAGGGATCCCGTATCGAAATCAATTTTAAAATTACAGAACGCTCAAATTCTGGCAAAATTAAAACGTATTTGGTGGAATGAATTTAATATCACGGAACCATGTTCTTTATTACGTGAATCAGGTAAAGCTCCAAGTCCATTGGGTGTAGAACAAGTTGGTGGTGTATTTATTGTCTTACTGATCGGATTTTTTATGGGATTCGCCGTATCGATTATTGAATTTTTAGTAGCAACAAGAGATCAGCAAAAGGTAATCCATCGATTTGTGATGTACTAAAGTCCTGAAATATTTATACAAAGCATTTATTAGTTAATTCTGTCATAGTATTTCCATAGCAGTGTACTATACCATCTCTTATTTCTCCATGAAGCATAATCTAGGTACTTTCGCAAGTTGGACTACTAAAATTTCGATACGAAAATAATCAAAAGGCATTTTCTCATAGAAATTACTGTACTAATTGAAATCTTTATTTCGATATGATGACGATGTCATCCGTATAGAATGAGAATCCAGGAGAATCTTGGGATACATTTTCTAAATTTAAATATAGGCGTTTGAAGGTTTCCGTCTGATTTAGATGAAAACTAAAGGAATAAAAATAGCAGATATTCTGTGATTGTACACAATCCAGTGTATGGAGTCGTAATTCTTTCATAGACCAAATGATAGAAAGTCAGCCTAGTGTTTCGTGACTCCCAACAATATTCAGCAAACTGAAATATACACAAATAATCATAAGTCCTACTTGTATTGTCCAGATGGTACTTCAAAAATCAACGCTATTGCTATTAAAGAATGAAATTACTATTGATGATTCCAATATATGGCATTAAGACGCACCATCACCAAATTTCCATTACTATCTAAATTTCAAACATGGCGCCATAAACGTCCACCTAAACGTTAATCACTAACTTCCTTATTCAGAGACTAAGTGTTTGGATGTTTAAAGATATATGATTATCTTTTGATTTTGTTGTTTGTGAAATCCATTAAAGCAATGCTGGAACATTATTATTTATAAACTAATAAACTTTCATTTTCAATTTTAGACAGCTGTTTGGCGTGGAATGTGGAAGGAGTTGAAATTCGCTACACGATGTTTAACGACATCACGTCGATTAAGATCAGACATTCCTAAATTATCTAGATCCCGTTCAAGTAATCGACTTATATCATCTGTACCAAATAATTTAAGTGCAATAAATAATTCGCCAAATTCATTCGGTTTCAGCGAAAATCATAATAACAATATAAAGTTAAATAATAATACTAATGTCAGTAAGAATATTCATATGAGTGGAATCAATTCAAAAATTGAACAAGATACATCTAGAGACCAATTGTTAATTTCCGAATCCAGACCTTTTACTTATGAACAACAGAATCAGCAAAATCAAGAAGGAACTTATCGAACAGATCAGAAAAGTGCAAGTCTACAATGTCCTAGTTCATTCGATCAAAGTGATATGTCTGCAGGAATATCAAGTGATCCACAGCCTCAAACCTACAACGCGCGTCAACAACAACACCATCTTGCATATAACATCCAGTCACATCAACAATTACAGCAACATCACCCATATATACATAATGAGAGTGATATTAAGCGTTTTACGATGCCACAAACTGTTGTTCGGTCAAATTTCAACGTTGGAATGACTAATATGAATGGAGATTCCGAACTATGGCAAATAAACCAACAGAAATAATTTCAATTTGAAAAGAAATTACTTGACGCGCGACTTTTAAAAATGTTTTCAACACTGTTTAGTTTATGCCTTAATTTATTGGAAATCTGAATCACTCTAAGGCTTGAAAGTATCTACGTTACGTTTAAGAAAGCAAAAAGTTTTAATTGGAAAATCCCTTTCAGTTTCATATAAAATGTTAGTAATAATTTTATTCAACTTATGTAACCTCTTTTTGTAATGTTGGATTTTGAAAAAATAGTTGAATTGATTTGTTCAGTTCAGAACTACGAATTACATAAAGTGAATATAAACAAATAAAGTAAAATATAAAGTTTCATTTCTCCAAATGAAGTTTGTCAATAGCACATATTGACTAGATCAAATGTCGCATACAATTTATACTATAAACAGATATTATTCAACGAATCACTGAACTTCGTCAACATTAACTTTGATGAGAAATAATCAAAATTTAGCCAAAAGTGGTTTATTTGTCAGAAAGTGTAGTTTTTCATGATAAATTAGGGTTCAAATTTGATTACTAACGTTATTTTCATTTTAAATAATTTCATAATAACAAAAAGAACGAATAGTTTTCCTTGAATAAATTCTCACTAGGTTCTACAGTAACAAACTCAAATTATTGATTAAAATGAAACATTCAAATTCAAAACTAATTCACCGCTTAAATGATTTTAGGGTTGACATTAAAATAATTATGTTAGTAAGCGTTTGTAAATATTGTATACGATTGTAAGTCGATTACAATTCTGAGATTAAAAATTTGGATGAATGTAAATTACGTGATGGGATAGAAAACATATATTAATTACGAACACAATCAATTATTTGCCCAACTATTACGTAAACTATAAAATAATGTGAATTAAGTAGGATGGGGTAAATATCAAATAAATTGTTCATATGTTTAAGGCAACATACAATAACAATTAGATCAAATCAATTGAATCCATGAAAATATGTTTGTATTTGCATTAGTCGAATTCACCCATCCTATAAATGGGATAATTATTGGCATATTCAGTCTAAGGCTAACCAAGTTAAGGGAAGATGATAAGCGAGCTTCTTTTAGTGTACGTAGATTTGAAAATGTCTTATCATTCATCTTAGGGGTATGTAAGGAACTAGGAAAGCAAAATTGTAATTATTAAATACACAAGAACATCATTTAATGCATTAAAAACAACTCCAAGACTCAATAGTAATATCAAATCACTAAGTCTAATAAATTCAATAAAATAACTACTTATGCTTCATCAGCTTATAAATTTCTTAGTACTTGAATTTTATAGGGTTACAACTCTTTCTTATGGGGAAGTATATATTTTTTTGTGTTTTTATGCACTACTCTTAGACAATATATCTACTCATTAAACACGAAAATGTGGTACCATGAGATGGATTAATTAATGAAACATTACGTTAAGTGGACAAAAGTACTAATGTACTTTTATACAGATGTGTTTCTAGTCCTGCCTGTCAATACGTTAGTCGATTGTTACTGGTCTTTTCACTCTTAGTATTCACTAACTTTACAACGTGATAAAGGATTCTAACTGCATTTTACAAATAATTGAAACTTAGAATTGAAAATAGTTAAAGGATCACTGAAAACCAGTAAGCATTTTACAGTTGCCTAGTCTTTACATATTCGTTAGCATTCATATACGTTCATATAAGTTAATATTATGAATCATTTGGAAACCGGGACATATACTACTGAGTTGGAATTCAGTGATTTATGTGTCCAACTTTCGGGTTACTTTAAAATGAATAACTTTTTTCAAAAAGACAAACATTTGTCGATTTATTAATTTAACATAAAGTGCGTAACAAGAGATCCAAACTGTTAGCGGGACATAGACTAGATTAAAGCATGCTCAATGCATGGTTGTTTTGGTGCACGCTGATTGGCTGATTCTTATCCAATCAGCACTAGTCGATAGTCGGAGAATACTCTGGAATCTTCTTATGTAAAAACTATAAATATACCGACGTTTTCCCCTATTGTGCTTCTGACTTGCTATTTGGAATATAATCTTTTTCCGGTTCAACCGTGTTCTGATTTGGGGACTTGTCGAGTGAATCGGTGTCCGAGAATACTAAGCAATAGGAATAGCTGGGTCATTAACCGTAAGAAACAGAGTTATAACACAAACCTTTCAAGTCATGAAACGTTATCATTTTCTGATCGAAAGTGGAAAAGCCTATCATGCCCTCTAAGTTTAATTACTTTTTCATTTGCTTCAAAATTCAATAGCATTTTAGAGAAAATAAATAAACAAACCACTGAACCTATTTACTTAGAGACTAATGGGAATTTTCAAATGTATTATATTAAGTGGCTTTTTAATACTTAATATAAATGAATGAAAACATTCTCAATTTCAAGATTTATTATGGTTATTGGTTATGAAGGAATATTGTTCTATAAATTCTGACATATCAACAGTCAATAATATGAACTATTAGTAAAATAAACTATCGTGATAATGACCTACAAAACCGTCATTATCAAATATTACGGAATATAGTGAAGAAAGAATAATCATTCTTTCAGTCTTTGAATACGTGTATAAATGTATATATATCTTGGTAATTGTAATTGACGAATCACAGATGAACAAGATTTTCGTTACCGAATCACAATTTTTATTCTCTATTCAACGTTTCCTCAAAACACTAATCCATATGATAATGAATAGGATTAGTAGCTAAATCAAAAATATCCCTTTTAGAATTATCATATCTTGTTCGCTTTTAAATAACACAATTAAGTCGAATTTATTTATAGAAATCATGAATAGAATATTTATGCAAATAGTTTCAATTACGTTTTCTACATAACAAAATTCAATACAGCTTTCATCAACACAGACCCAATTACTTTTCGGGCATTATTTTAAATGTTATCCATAGAGGTAACTAGATTATTATGCCAAGAAATTTAATAATAATTTTAATCTTACTTCATCAAACCCACTCCACTGTGTTTATTTACCAATAAAAGTTTTGGTTATTACATGAGATTTACATATGTTTCTTACTAAACTAATCAATGTATATTCATTTTACGTTTCTATTTGAACCGCATTAATTTAACTCCTTTGTTTACATATTTATGCATTATTCAACAATGTTTACTCATCATATGTGATTCAAGTGTGATGTGGGTAGACAGCCGAACCAAAGCAAATGATTTTGAGTTAGTAGCCTAAAAATTCAGCAGACTTATTTCTTCAATAAATAATTGTTTATAGATAACTCAAATGTTGTAAGGTGTTTTAATAAAAATGGAAACTCATAATTGAAATGTTTCAAATCTACGAACTAAAAATAACTCATGATGGTTAAATCTCCTATTCAATGATTAAGATGCACTTTTACTACTTTATCACTGATTTTAAAGGCTAGTGATAGTTTCGGTTTGACTCGTTTCAAATAATTATTAACTTTTGTTTCATTTCATGTGTACAAACACAACGGATAGGTAATAATCCTTACAAACTCGCTTTTTGATATTTAAATAATAAAAGCTTTTCTTCAATGAAAGATTTAAGATAAATCCTAGTGAATGATAAATATATCTTTGCAAAAACCACCTTATTACTGGAACGTAAAATAAATGAATCAATCCTCATTTGACCTATCCAGGTCTTATATTCGAACAAATTGTTTTCAGATGAGTAAATATTTGATTGTATGACTACTGTCAAACAAAGATGCTTCGAAAAAACTATGTAAATCTAGTGAAATATCATGAAACTACCCAATTCATCCGGCGGTCAGATCACTGACTATCGAACAGGTCGAGGATAGCCGACGCACATCAATCAATTTTACATACCACGAAGTGACATATGTGTCAGCGGTCTCACTCTGTTTCATGTATCTGCTCTTGCTAATATATTTTCTGTTATAATGTAAATTGTGTTGTACGGTCATCAAAGCATTCATAGTACCGCGATACGGTAAAACGGTAATTCAAGTTAGGTACTAACCGTGAAGTGTGACTTCGAGTAAGCCGGTTGGTCACGCCATTTCTATTCAATTCAAATAGGCTCTCAATCATTGACACGGATCACCGATGTTGTCTATCTACAATTACCTAGCTTTTATTTTGCGGAATGATCTGCTTCTTTGATAAACACCATGTATGAAATGTTTTAAAATGTTCTTCTGAAACGAGTTAAATTTTACGACAACCACATAAAATTTCTCAGAGTTGAAGAATCGCTTCAAAATTCAACTGACAGAATAATTCTAATGTTCTATATTTGGGATGTTTACGCCTTAGTAGTTAAGAATGCGAGACTATAGTCCTTCATTCGCTTATGAATCTGTTAGTCAAGTTTCAATACACTTATTATAACGGGCCATGGACAATAATTTGAAATTAGCCTAAACGTTGGTGAAATGATTGAGTAACTAGCAACTGTCTACATTTCTTAAGTGAAACTAACGAGTGAGTAATATCTTGATATTTTTTATATATTTCCAACCTTTCCTTTGTTTGTTTTAAAAGACACACTAGTCAAAACATTGATTCACTAAAAAGAAGAAAATTAATTTCATTGAAAGAAACTGTTTTAATTGAAAATTTATTGGCGCCAATAAAAAGGTTTTTATCAGCATCGCGTTGTCATAAAATATTATTAATGACAGGGCAGTAAAACTCCATGAGAAACAATTATGAAAAAATTAAACCAAAAATAATGAATACTAAGTCAGAACTGTATTGAACTGAAAATCATTCCAATTGTAGACAATAAATTCGCTTCATTTGTGAGATAGACACCAAACTTTATTAGAATCATAACACTCAATGAATGTAGTTTGAGTTCTACATTATACTTTTTTAACTAAAAGTTTTCTATATTTTTTAGCTTCAGCCAAAATATTCAATAATGCAATAACGGTGAGAGAAATCTACTTTTTTCTGATGACTAGGTTACATTCATATGTCACCCTTTTCATCATACGTTGACGATTATTTATTGATAACACACTGCGCTGTTGCTTTTACGGTTAAATGTGATTTTTTGTTTTATAGACGTTTTCCTAGCCGATGAATAAAAATACTGGTTAACTCTTTTATAAATGAATCTGGTACTGGGGAGTTTTACAACATAAAACAACAAACAAACTTGACAATATATTTCGATGATTATTTTTCGAAAGATATCCACAACAGTCATCTTTATGTTTACAGCTCGCACTAATTCATAAAGTAATTGAAGTCTCATTTGGTTATATAAGGCAGTGGTTCACTGTTATTCTTTCAACTTGTTATGGCGTAAATTGAAGTTAAGCTGCTTGATTTAAGTATTAGTCAAAAACTTGACGCTTATTCACTGTATTAGTCCTTCCTTAAATTAGTAAGCCCTTGATAAAACCAATGCTTCTAATAGAAGTACTGTTGAAGCACTAAACAAATTCAAGTAGTTTCAGTAGGAGAAATACACAAAGACATTCGAATTCCCTAGGTGGTCCCATCTAAACTTTGAAACAATCTTTCTGACAAACTTTTTAAATGTATATGTAATATTATAGTGTTTCAAAAAATATACAGACATGTTGTGGCTTAAGTTATATTCAAAGCGAATTCTAGCATTCCTGTAGAAGAGAATTTTTATTTAGCAATCAGATCTTTGTATGAAACCTTAACAAGTAATTCGACTGAAATGTTATCGTAATTTCAAATGATTGTATTTTTGCAATATGATCTTTAGTTTTCAGGGAGCGTAAAGTCAACATAGTCAATTTACTCGTAATAACCAGAACTGTTCAGTCGCTTAGTGGGAAATCATGCTGATCTTTTTAAATGCTATCCTGTTTTATTTCCAATACATTTCCAATTAAATAACCGTTCACTTATCTGACAAATTAAATTAATACGAAACCTCACTTATTTACAGCCATTACACAGCAGCCAAAATACAAATATGTGTTGGAATGTATTTGTAGTTCTTTTTACTTTTCACATGACTTATCCTTTTAAATCATTCGAATCAGAAAGTTAAGATTTACATCAATAACACTGACCACTACCTTTTGGAGAGCAATTATGAGGCACAAATTTTGTCTACTACAAGTTCAAGCTATAAAAACCGTAAACAGATAGACTAATAGAAATTTTTTTAAAGTACCCTATATCCTAGTCAATAATTTTGTAAAAGGAAAGTGAAAATGTAATCACTGATTGTACAGGATTAGGTAATTTTCTTCTCCTACTTTATCAGAAAAATTTGAATAACCTTAAAACTATAAAGAACATAATGCTGCATTGTCTATTATATAGGACAATCATTTTACTTTTTCAGATACGTACTGTACAGAAATTTCAGAAAGTGATATTACTTTACAGTTTAGCCACGGAAGAACCGGGAAATATCATTAATCCGTAGAGATACATAATTCTAAATGGTAGGATATACAAACAATCATCAGGATATTGATGGTCAATCGATTGTATATAGGGTCGGAACATGCATATTTTCCTTTTCGGTAGTATGAAAACAATTTGTAAATATTAGGAATGTTAATTCATTCTCTAAAAGTATTCAGTAATCATGCTATGTGTAAGTCCTTTCAGAATACATAGCTACATGGTTAAATAATTTAATAGTTAAACATCTTAAGTAAGTTGAACAAAATTTCGTTTACTAATCATACTAAGCATTTGTCAACTTGACTGCTTTAACCAACTCTTCAATGAATTTGCAACAATTCATTTCTATACAAAGATTTTTATACTACAGATTAAAACGCAACTCTGTTTTTTTCTTTTCTTTGATAGTCCCATCCATGTGTGGTTGTATAAAGATGGAAAAAAACCAGTCAAAACAGCCTCATTAAGTAATTATTTAACAATTATTTGATAAACTACCCTAACCAAAAATGATACTGTTCTAATCTTGCTTTTGAATTATAGATTTTTGATCATAAAATTATATACTTGAAAGAGATATCTGTTGTCACACAACCTATCAAATCAATGATGCTCATTGCTGATTTAGATCAGATTTTTCGGTTCTATGAAAGTTGAATTTTCGCTTTCATTCATCCAATCGATCAATTACTTCACTCATTTATGCCAGACCCAGTAAGGTTGGTAATAAAAGAAAAGAATTCTGTCACAACAGTTGATATGGTGCTTTACATATTCATGAAAATAAATTAACAATTATCTTCATTGACATTGAAATTTTTTTTTACTGAACCACTAGCTACCGAAACAAATTCAAGTTAATTGTATTTTCGAATTAGTTATGCAAATTATTTTATGCATGGAAATAAGTTATTTATATATTATTTATTCTGCTAAACAAAATTCAGCATATTAACGGAAGTATTATTTTAGAAATTGGTTTAATAAGACTATCTATCCTCAACATTTCCCTATTGTGACTTACACACGTTTTATATTTTACAATTTAATTCAATTACCAAACGTTTCCGCCTATTATTTTCATTGGAATTAATTAGATGTTTCTGTTCACAAAAATAATTAAAACAAAATCTAGGAGTTGAAGAAACTGTTGCACATTTAATTGGTTATTAACATATTCTTCTCTTTGTAGGAGTACCTAAAAGAAAATTAAAGATCACAGAAAATTCCCCACCCTATTGATTTTTCTTATGACTAAAAATCTGTCATTTGAAACATAATATGAACCGTTTATTTGCTTTATTTAAAATTTATGAAACAGGAAGTATTTATAATTAACATTTTTTAACTGTAGTCAATTTATTTCCATTTTTGTCTGGATATCTCATTTTTTTTAGCGTGTAATTTAAAATCTAACCGACACAGGAAAGACTTCTGCTTTAAAAACTGTAGAAATTAGCTGATTGACAATATCCTCCGACTGCATAGCCTATATCTGATAACACTAAAACATTTATATAAATCCAGAAAATATTCACCGACAAGTTATATTAATATGCATAAATAACCAAATTACTTGATACGGCCTCCTTTTTTGAATAGTATTCGACAATGATTCACTTCTCTGGCAAATTTATTACTGATAGCTATCTTCCATCCACGAAGCAGTGAACTGTTAGTTCGGAAAATCTTACAACTGCAGTAAAGCTTTTTGAACATTATGTTCAGTGCTCTACTTATAAAGTTTTGCAACAAATTGCTTTTCAAGGGAACAAAAACCTCTATTCATTTTCAAACAAACCTCATGGTAAATAACGAACATTTTAATTGACTAGTCGCTTATATATTCGTATGACTTAATAACTCATTATGAAATAATATTAAAATCGGAGCCTAGATTTCTAACTGATGAGTAATTTTTCCATCCTAGCGGTATTTGTTATGAATTAGGACTTTTTTGACTTTCTGAAGAAGTTCTATAGTTTAAAAGAAATAGATCCAATACTAACCAACAGAACAAACACTATGATACCATGTGCTTGATCAACACCTTCTTACAAGACAGACATATTGAGCCATATGAACAGAAATAGATAAGTAAGACAGCCGCTCAGCAGAATAGGATTCTTTTGAAACGAAATTGCATCCCCAAGTTAAAAAACAATATTAAGCACAAAAGTAAATCTTATTAGAAGTCAGTTTAAATGTAAACAATTAGATCATAAGGTTTTCGTGCGTCATTTAACTGTCGGTGATATTAAGACGTAACTAGTAAGTTTGAACTCTGCACTATACGCCACCATTGGATACTGAGAATATTTTATATATTTAAGGCTTTTCAGTGAATAACGTTCAGAGAGAAGTAATGTTATTTTAAGAAATTTGAAATCTCAAAATCTTCAACTTTTATTTTCAGTGGAATTTGTAAAATACAGACAAGTGTCATGAGCATTATAGTGCCACATATTTTTAACAGTATTGACTAAATAACAACAGTTTTACTGTATTACCGTAAATACAACATTACTATGACAAATTAAAGAATACGGAACAAATTTCCAGTCTTATGGACAAATGTAACATTACTTACTACTAGATGACCAGTCAGTAGTAAATATTTCGATCCTTCAGAGGGTCGGTTGCGACCTGAATATCTGTGGTAATGTCTTAAACTGTAAAGCTGGATGACACTGGATTGAATGCACTATGAATCAGCATTTCCCACAAAATTACCGGTACACCTTGTTGAATAATGTTAAATAGTAAAAACAGTTAGTCCAGAGATTTCCACCGACTTTCTTCAACCATCTAACATATGTAAGATCAGTTATATTCTTACATCATTAGTAAGCAATATGTAAGCGGTGAGTACAGGAAAAAATATAATTGATGAATTCTTCATTAGCTTAAGAGTTTGTCTGTCTAATAAACTACTTATTCAATGAAAGCGAACTGATTGTTGTATATGTTGTTCCTCATGGAAACTAAATATTTACATAATCAAGTTTTATTTGCCACTTACTTAAAATACTAGATTACCATCATCGTTGTTTAAATCGTTTTTAAATTCACTTAAATTGTAAAACACATAATTTGCGCATGGAATAGTTTATACCCAAATCAAATGTGACCTCAAGATGTTCATCTTTCCAGTATTTTAAAAGTAACAATGTTTTATTTCTGTTTTGAGTAAATATTTTTCATGTTAGCAAATCAAGAGATAAGATTATATGAATGAAGCTTTTAAGCGAATCTACTCTGTTTAAATATCACAAATACACAACAACTAAAGCCGATAGCAAAACCGAATAAAAGGAAATGTAATATGCGTAAAATAATAACTTCGTCTTTTAGCATATTGATTTTTCTACCAGCATGTTCAATCGCTCGACTTGAAACAGATCATACAAACCGCTTTTCTGTTTGTCAACGATAACAATAACAAGAAAGTTATTTACTCAGTCTACAATTAGTTTCTAAAATTCTATCAAACCAGTAGTATTGGTAGGTTCATTATTGGTGATTTCTGCATGCTTTAACACTTAAATTCAATGAAATATAAAATTCTGCCTTCTTGAGAAAGATTACTCTCATGTTCACTTCCTGAATAAGTTAGATTATGTTCAAATCGAAGTCTGGAAGACGAAGCAAATTACCAACTATTCCACATATTTATAGTCAAAATAGAACAGCGGGGATGAATAGTTATCTACTCTTCACTAGACAAACATCAGTTAATTTGATACGGAAAACAACTTTCAAAAGTTGAATTATTTTATTATACAACATGAATTTAATTTATTATAAACTATGAAACTTATTCTAATTTCATCATATATCAAACAATGTAATGAATTGAAACCTTCACCTCAAAAAGAAAACAAATATTCAGTGGATTACAAATCTAGAATGCCTTAAATCATGGCTGAATTTTCATCCCATCATCTTTAAAACCATCTTTTCTAGTTCAGCCATTTAATACACGGAAATGTTTGTTTATCCAGCTTTAGGTCATACGTACCCTTAAATAAAATATTTTTAATTATTAGTAATGTAGAAGGCGAATCAATTGTATATTGGATTTCAGACTATTCTAATTGAGAAATACAAAAGATTCATTTCTTATAAATACGTTTAACTTTTATGAACTATAAACGTCTAAAGAAGCATTAATCATGCAAATTAGTAAATTAGTAATGTTCGCTAGTTATGTTAGTTTCATCTTACAATATTAAATGTTTATACAGTAAACTATTAATGATTAAGGTTACCCGATTCAGTTTATTCGAATCTTTTAGTTAATACTGATTAATAGCAAGCATAAAAAATAGCTCATTAAAGCAATTCCTCGACCTGTTTATGGTGTATATTAATTCTTTATCTGTAGACGTTGCCATCTTCCTTACGTCGTGACGTTAGCTTTTATTCACTTGTAGCAAAACCGTATGTAAATAAAACTCGTAAATGATGTTGCTCTTCTATCAAGCTGTAACGAGTTACCATCTATTTCCTCTTGGCTGTCATTTATTATATAGTTCAGTGAAATCTTTTATCAGACTTATTAAATGTTATTACTACATTATATTTGTAGTAATGATGGATATGCGCACGGATGCTATTCATTAACCAAAACTTTAAAATCTTGAAATGTTGGTACTTAGGTACATTAGAATTCAGCTTTTTATAAATTCACCCCAAACGGATCCATGACTAATAATGTTCCAAATCATGAAAAAACAACGTTTAATGCCTTTACAGCTACTCCTACTTTGCAAATATATATTGCAAAGTATGAGAATTGCGAAATCAGACTTCGTATTGCTGAATAGTTTAAGCTACTGTTTTATTTAGAGTATCTTCGTTCGATGGGACTAAGCATTATAATTTTACCCATACAGTTTTCATGGTATTTGTAATTTTCAATTAACTTCATGTTTCACTAGTAACAGTAGAACCCGGCATATGTATTCATCTGTTCAAGTTTTCACATTACATTACCATAGCTAAACAAAATTATCATGAAAAATCCCGTAGTATTTGAAGTAATAACAATATCACTAGAGAAGACTAGGTATACAGATTATGAAGCGACCGACAATTCACATGATAAAGAACGTCATTTCAATATACAGTGGAGCATGAAATGCTCATGAAGAAATATGGGTAACTTTATTTGATCATTACTTAAAGACTAATTCATGTAATGATCGAATTCTGATAGTTATAGACAATCGTTATAGATTTGGTGCTACGGATTTATCAAGCGTTATGCAGCTGACTTGCTAGATACATAGGTTCAAATGATATTCGTACGCATTATAGTAGTTTGAAATAGGATAATTCTGAGGCTTCATTTACCAAAGTGTTCAGAATATCTTTAAGAAAATAATCTGAATTTCAACTACGAACGAAACAGGTATTGACGTTTGTGAGAGTAAGGTTAATCACTTAACTAAATAGATAGAAGATAGTGAGTTTTATTACTTATGTTTCAGATTGTATTTTCTACGATCGATTACTAAGGAAGTTCTGAAAAGAGTATTTCTGTAGTTTCGATGTTACAAATTCGCACTTTAGTTGGCACGTAAATAAAACATCCGCGGCAGATGAACCCTAATGTACACAAGCATAATCCTTTGTACGAACAACAGACATTGTTTCATTTGCATTATATTAAACTACAAAAGTCGTTTCAATTTGTAATTTTTTTACCATGATTTATCGATATTTACGTCAAAGGGCTATGCACAATAAACTTCCTTAAAGTAATATGTTCTATAAATACACATGACATTCGCTAATTAACATGCAAAACATCTCCAAAATGTTTCTTTCCATTACATCATTAATTTGAAATGACAACTTTTATGTTAGTCTTAGTATAATAGTATTACTACATATGAAAAGTTTAGTGTAAGATAATTATATGTATAACTGCAGCTACACTTTGTAGATTTATAGTAAATGAGAGAAGTGATCAATAACAGCTGCTTTTATTAAATGATATTTGAAGTCATAAAATGATCCTTGCTAGACCATCACCGAAATCCAGGCGACACTGGACAGCCATTTAGTCCTAGCATGAGACTCCTTATCAGTGCGGGATTTTAACTATACAAATTCTACAATCTCTACAATCCTTATAAGCTATTAATAATCATTTTCTTACTAGCGACTAGCTTCAGTATGTGATTCTTGTAGTTCCACTGTAAAGAAATGACCATTAAAATTCAACCATGTCAAATGTAAGATAGTTATCTAATTCAGGTAATGGAAGATGGTTGTGTAATATTGTGAACTGATTAAAGTTAAACAGTAACATCGTCGGATACCGGTTCAACAATCTAGAGGTTAGGCTTTCACGTGATGTCTTGGGTTCGATTCTCTGTGGCTGGGTCGAGAGTAAGCATCGATGAGGAA